GGCCCTGTTCATAACACACACGGGCGTGGGTAGACAGGGAACACTTGCACGCTATTATAACCACTCAGAATGGGACCCTAAATGACAAGAGAGTCTTCACAGACATTGTGAGGTCTCACAGGGTGAGCGACCCGAAGCCCGAGACTGGTGTCCTTATTAAAAGACACACATGCACATGCATACACATATGTGTGCGTGCACAGTGGGAGGCACAGTGTGTGGGCAGAGACACACCCAGGCAGAGGGATGCTGAGGGTGGCCAGCAGCTGCCCAGAGATGGAGGAGGGACTGTGCCCTGATGGTGACAGCATCCCCCAGCCCTGGGCCCCCAGCCCCTGCCCCCTGAGGAGTCTCTTGCTCCTGGGCAGGGGGAGGTGGGCAGGGATGGGAAGGCAGTGGGCAGGCCCCTGGCAGCCCTCAGGTCTCACCTGTGGGGCAGCAGAAACGAGCTTTGGGAAAGGGCCGGAGTGGCCAGATGACAGGCAAGGTACTTACTGGCTTTGCATTCACTGACCAGGGTTCGATGCCCGGCACCTCATATGGTTCCCCAAGCCCCACCAGGAGTGGTCCCTGAGCACAGAGCCAGGAGTAAAGTCTGAGCACGGCCAAGTGTGTGCCCTCCCTCCCCAAACCAACCAAACAGAAAAAGCAAAGGAAGTAGAGATGTGTTGTCCCTTAGCCTGTCCCAGCTTGAGGCCACCCGAGTGTCTGGGATTTGCAGACTCACTGTGCTGCAGAGTCTGGGGGGTCTTTTCTGGGCAGGGGCTCTGTGGAGGTTGAGGCGGTGAACCCTGCTCCTGCCATCCACTTCCCAGGGGCCTCTCTTCGCTCTCTCTTTGCCATGCTACCTCCTGCTCGGCCCTCTGGCCCCTGCTGGTCACTTCCCCCTCTGAAGCCAGCAGCCCTGCTGGGCCATTCACTCACAGGCAGAGACTCCGTGGGGGTGGGGTGGGGCAGATGTTAGTCTCTGGTCCCTACCCACCACCAAAGCGTACACATATGTTCAGTGTGTCTCAGTGCCCTGGGAAAGAGTCCAAGACCATGTAATGGACTGGGTGGGTGCACGTGTGCGTGCGTGCGTGCGTGCGTGTGTGTGTGTGTGTGTGTGTGTGTGTGTGTGTGCCAGGGAGAGGCAGTGACGTGATCACTGGGAAATGGGGTTGTCCTCCAGGCCCTCCCGGGCAATTACATGCCAGCAGCTTCATCTACTACCAGCTGGCATGCGGCGGGCGTTGGACCACCAAGAGCCCTCCCACACAGGCCCTCATTTGCCCCTGGAAATTCCCAGCCTCTTTCTCTGCTCTGTGTGCTGGCACCAGGCCAAAGACATTGGCCCGGGGTAGCTATTTTCTCCTTCAACACACATCCACAGCCCAGTGTTAACGGGAGGGGTGGAGAGTTTCTTTAGCAGCATTTCCCCATCAGGGATGTGTGTGTGTGTGTGTGTGTGTGTGTGTGTGTGTGTGTGTGTGTGTGTGGTATGGCCCTCTATGGGGTTCAACATATTCTGGCGGGGCCACAATTGAAAATCTTGTAAGGGGGCTGGTGGAACAAGGCTAGGGGGCTGATTGGTAGGATGGTGGGCGGTGAGGAAACAAGGTGGGGAGGGGGTTGGGTTGGGAAACTTGGAGAAACACTGTTTTAGTGGTATGGCTCTTCTGAAACAGCTCCGGGGGGGATTCTCTGCCCCTCAGCCTCAGTTCCCTCCTTTGTAAGCAGCTCCCCCTCACACCACCTGGGGAAGGAAGGTCCTTGCTCTCCTCCAGCTCAGCCCTGCCCAGGTCCTCTCCACGCAGGTTGTTTCCTACACATAGACACAGACACAGACACACACACCCCCTCCGCGCAAGCTGTTCCCTGTCCACACACCACTGAGGATCAGATGGTGCCATTCAAGCCAGGCAGACCCACCCAGTACCTCCCTGCCTGCTCTCCCCTTCTGACCTTGCCCACTTAGAAGTGCAGACTGCGTACCCCACTGGGATGCGGGAGTGGAAGTGTCGGTGACCCTCTCTCTGCAGGGACCCCAGAGGAGTGGGGGCACTCCCCTGCGGGGGGTGCTTTCTCAGTGTGACCTCTACACAGCCTGAAACGGAAATGGAGCTGACACCGGAGAGTGACCTGCACCTCCCTCTGGGCAATTTGCAGGTGTGAAGGGACAGGGAGGTGAGGGCAATTGGAGGAAGAGGGTCTTGAGGGGTTGTGAAATGCTGACCTGGCAGCAAAGATAGATAAAACCAGGCAGGGCCCTGGGGTCTCCAGTGCTCTAGGAGCATGGGTAGGTGGGAGTGGGACACGCTTCGGGGGAGGTGTTTGTTTTCCAACACACCCGGATGCAGATGCAGGACTGTCTCCTACCCTCCCTTTTTACCAACTCAGAACTCCCTATAGTTCTGAGAAACAGCCAGATCTCCATTGAAGTGCATTGGAGCCCGGAGACAGGAAGGAGCAGAGAGCACTGGAAGGGGGCAGTGAAAGGGGTGCCAGTGGGCAGCGGGGAGGCGCCCCCCCCTCTGGTTGTCCAGCTCCAGACCCCAAGATGAAAGGATTAGGAAGCAGCCTGGCCCCCGGGCTGAGCTGCCTCTGCCGCTCAGGGAACCTGAGCAAATACACCCTGATCCCCACATAAAGGGCCAATTAACTGCGCTGGCCCCGGGAACAAATCCGCTAACAGGGTGACAAGCCCCCAGACGCGGGCAGGCCCTGTGTTTGCGGAGCAGCGACAGGGACAAAGCAGGGGATTAGCTCTGGAGGAACCCGCAGTCGTGGGGAGGGGCTGTCTGGCGGCCCACCCAGTGACAGTGGTGCCAGGATGATGGGCATTTATGTCCTGGGATGGGGGGGGGGCGGTGGCAGTGACTGGTGCGATGGAACCCCGTGGCCCCCTAAGTCAGAGGCTGGGCAGAGGGCTCCGGAAGTAGACATCTGAAGTCAGGCTCTTCCTAACAGGTGGGGCACCTTACACCAGGACTGAGCTCCCTTCTGGGGTCTGTCCCTGGGGAGGCAGAAGGGAGCATGTCCTGACACTCCCTTCCCTCCCCCGCCCCCCATGCAGCCTGGCCTGGCATCCGGTACTGACTGCGGCTCCTCCTCTCCCTCCTCATCTGTGGGTGCTGGTGCCGGCCAGCATGTGACTGATGGTGCTGAAAGAACAGCTCCCCGGAGCTAGTTTTCCTTAAGGGTTTCCCAGAGCTGACTTGAGGGGCTAGAAAACTACTCTTTCCTTCCAGGCCCCTAGGAGAGGTGGGTGCGTGGCAGACGCTCTCTTCCTCCCCCACAAAGTCTGACTCACTGGCCTGCTGCCTGCCTAGCTTTGGACTCCACCATCCTGCATCCACTGCTGACCCTACTAGCTTCCCCCTGACCCCCGCCCCGCAGAGCAGCCTCCGGCCACACATACACACCAGGTGGTGTCAGAGCCGGGAGCACCCACCACAGGGCGTATAGCTCTTCCCCAGGGTCCAGAGACTCCCGCCTGAGCTGGCGAGGGGGCTGTGTGGAGGGGCGGGGACCAGGGTTCGGGGAGTTTTGTGGCGAGTTTCAACTGGAAAGAACCAGGGAAAGTCGGCAACAGGAAGACCTGGTGGCACTGCAGAGAAACAAGAAAAAGCTCTTGTTCTTCTCCTCTCTGTGTCTCTATGTCCCTTTCTCTCTTTCCTCTGTCTCTTTGTCTCTGTCTCTCTCTGTCCAGAACCCCTGGGGTTCTCCTTCCCTCTTCCTCCAAAGATCAAGCAACGTAATGGATCACATCAGAGCAGAGCAGTGCAAATACTTCGAGAGGCCAGGGTACTTGGAGCTTTCCCTGAGGGCCCTGCGGCCCCTGCCGGCGCGACTTCATACCTCTGGGCTCTAAACAGAGACTCTGGGGGCCAAGACCTGCCCCTCACCCTGGTCCGGGGTGTGGGGGTGACCCCACGAAAATGGTGGAGCTCACCCTGGAACTCTTTCCTCACCGGGGCCGCGTCCAAGCCCTGCAGTCTGTGCAGGCGCTAGAGAGGTAGCGCTTGTGCTTGTTCGGACTTTGTCTCCCAAAGAGCCTGCGCGTATTTGCTCAGGTTGCCTGAGTGGCAGTGGCAACTCAGAGGGAGAGGGAGAGGGGGGAGGGAGAGAAAGGAGAGAGAGGAAAGAGAGGAGAGGAAGAGAGAGAGAGAGAAAGAGAGGGAGGGAGATAGTGAGCGGGAGAGAGAAAGGGAGAGAGAGGAAAGGGAGAGAGTGAGAGAGAAGCAGAGAGAAAGGAGAGAGAGAGGAGAGAGGAAAGAGGAGAGAGAGGAGAGGAAGGGAGGGAGAGAGAGGGAGAAAGAGAGAGGGAGGGAGAGACAGAGAGGGAGAGAGGGGGAGAGGGGGAGAGAGGAGGGAGAGAGAGAAGAAAGGGAGGAAGGAAGAGAGAGGGAGGGAGGGAGTGAGAGCAGAAAGAGAGAGGGAGGGAGAAAGGGAGGGAGAGAGAAAGGGAGCGAGAGGAGAGGGAGGGAGGGAGGAGAGAGAGAGGAAGGGAAGGAGAAAGAGAGGAAGAGGGAGAGGGAAAGGGGAGAGAGAGAGAAAGAGAGAGAGGAGAGAGAGAGAAAGAGAGAGAGAGAGGAGAGAGAGAGAGAAAGAGAGAGAGAGAAAGAGAGAGAGAAAGAGAGAGAGAGAGAGAGAGAGAGAGAGAGAGAGAGAGAGAGAGAGAGAGAGAGAGAGAGAGAGATTTCTGTTGGGCGCCGGTCCGGGGAGAGGGGACAGCGCCTGGTCTCGCACGCCGCTTGGGGGCTTTGAGAAACTCCTGCGGAGCGCGGGGCGGGGACTCCAGCGCCCAGTGGCCGTCGGGGCTGGAGGGTGGAGGGAGGCGAATTAATCCGGTAATTACGCCTTGATCGGCGCGGCACCTGCTTTCGGCGCGGCGCTCCCGAGGGAGCCGGGCCCGGCGGCGGCGTTGGCGGCGGGCAGCGGAGGCACGCGCGGGAGCGGCACCATAGCGGCACCGTGGCTGCGCCGGGGCGCACAGGCTGCCGAGGGGCTCCCGGCTCCCGGCCCGCGGGTCCCCGACCCCGGGGCTGGGCCCCGAGCCCCAAGCCTCGGGGCCGGGCGGGGGCCGCAATGCTGCGCTACCTGCTCAAGACGCTGCTGCAGATGAACTTGTTCGCCGACTCCCTGGCCGGCGACGTCTCCAACTCGAGCGAGCTGCTCTTCGGCCTCAACACCTCCGTGGCGGCGCTCAACAGCAGCTTCCCGACCCCCGGAGACCCTCCCCTCAACGGTGAGACCCTGACCCGCCTGCACATGGGGGTGGGGGGGGGGGTGTCCAGGACCGGGACGGGGAACCGAGGCCAGAGCGCTCCGGCCACCGGCAGGCGCCCAGGTCCCGAGCCTGCCGCACCTCCCAGCGCCTCCTTGGAGAAACGAGGGCTTCGAGCCCCGGGGTGGGGGTCATCGGAGGAGAGAGGGCTGCGGAGTTCCTTGCACCCCACCTCTGCCCCCGAATCCCCCCCACACACGCACACACACGCACACACATCTACCCCCAGGCTGCCGGCGGGAAAGTCGGGGCTAAGGAGGGAGAGGAGGGGGCGGCGGCCGGCGGGTCTGTGACCCACCGGGAAGTAGGTCCCCCCATTCGGGACTTTCCCCCCAAGTTTTCCAAGTTTTCCAAGAACTCACTTAGGACTGACGCGAGGAGGGGTCGAAGGTGTTTGCTACTAGAAAGGCGGGTAAGGGCGCCGATCGTTTCGGGGAAACGTAAAAGTTTGAGGCTCTGAGATCCTACTCGGGCCCCGGGGCAGGGCTGCGACGGGCGGGCAGCGCCGGCGGCGGGGTCGTTACCGCTAATTACGGTGATTAATAAATGACGGCGACAGCGCGCGGGGCCCCAGTGCGGCGGGGAGGCGGAGACGCGCGTCTCCCGGAGCCCGGCGAGTGCCCGGGCGCGCCCCCTGCCGGCGGCGGCGGGACTGCAGCCCTCCCGGGCGCGGGCGCGGGAAGGGCCCCCCCACCCCCCTCCCGCCTCGCCACGCCTCCCCAGCCAGGCCCGTGGGCCTCCACCCACCAGTGAGCGCAACGCAGCCCGTGACACGAAGCCGGAGAGGAAGACGGCCCGGACAATGCGTTGCGTTTGTGCGGGGTGCTCCAGGTGCCGGGGTGGGGCCCTAGAGCCCCATTAGCACGGTCATTAGCTATTCATTAGCTGCTGTCCAAGTATCTCCTGAGACCAGGCATGACGGAAGAAATTCCGGGGAAAGGGCGCCTGCAGCTGCGTCTGCAGGAATTAGGGGTGTGATATGTGTGGAGGAAGGGGGTGTGTGTGAGCTGTCTTCTGTCATCTCCCGACCCTCCTGCAAGCTCCAGAGCTTTGGCACGGGGCCCCACCAGGCCTGCAGCTAAGTCTCTGCTTCCCCAGAGCTGGGTCCGGCTTCCACCACACCTGCCTCGATGACAGTTAACAGAAAGCATTGGTGGTCACATTTTGCCACCAGGGAAACAAATTCCAGAGAGATGATGAGTTCTAAAAGCAGCCTAAGCATGGCAGTAACAGACACGTCTGCTTCCCTAAAGGGGCAGTTTCGGAGGAAGAGTTCCAGGAAAACTGGGGCCTGATAGAATCTGACTCAGGTGGCAGTGTGAGGGAGAGCCTGAAGAAATGATGGGATAACCCTTCTTTCCGCATATGCTTTGCATAGATCCACTAGGGATGCCAGAGCATAACTCCGACTCTATAGTCCACGGGCCTGAGTGTGGGGATCACCTGGGCAGACAGCTCTGAATGAAAAGGCAATAGAGGACTCTTCCCTGCTGGCTCTCTGCCTTTGTGGGCTAAAAACAGACCGGTAGAATAATCCACGGAAAAGAAAAGGAGTATCACTCACCTATTCACCAGTCACTGGGGTTTTCCTGGCAGATAAAGGGTTATCTTTGCCCTGTGAGGTTTGGCTGGCGCCAGGTCAAGAGCCCCATCTGGTCCCAGCCTCAGTGAGGCTGGTATCTTTCCTTTCCTACTGGTGTCCTGGGGTCCTTCCGGTGAGGGACTGTGAAGCACCTGGGATTCCTCTTAAACTTGGCAGCAGATGCCAGGCGTCCAGGCGCCTGTGTCAGGGTATCTCTGTTCTGGCCAGGACCGTGGGGGCATTGTCCAGAAGATGCTGGACCTCATCAGAGCGAAGCGGAAGTGAGGGGACCTTTTCCTGTCTGGAGGTTCCATCTCATCCCCTGGGTCTGACCGCTCCGTGCCCCGTCCCCCACCCCCACTTAGGCTCAAAGGTGGGGCCAGAGGACGCGGTGCCCCGCATCGTGGAGCAGCCGCCGGACCTGCTGGTGTCGCGGGGCGAGCCGGCCACGCTGCCCTGCCGCGCCGAAGGCCGGCCGCGGCCGCGCATCGAGTGGTACAAGAACGGGGCGCGCGTGGCCACGGTGCGGGACGACCCGCGCGCGCACCGTCTGCTGCTGCCCAGCGGCGCCCTCTTCTTCCCGCGCATCGTGCACGGCCGCCGCGCGCGGCCCGACGAGGGCGTCTACACGTGCGTGGCGCGCAACTACCTAGGAGCCGCGGCCAGCAGGAACGCCTCGCTGGAAGTGGCCGGTGAGAGCCCCGGGGACGCGGGGACGCCCCCTGCAGACCCCGCCCCAGTCTCACCCAGTCCGCTGGGATCTTCCTTCCCGTCCCAAACTGCTCCGGGTGTGGTGCCCCTGTTCTGTCCAGGCTCCATTTCTCCCCTCCCGCGTCTCTTCCTCTCCCCAGTCCTCCGCGATGATTTCCGGCAGACTCCAGGGAACGTGGTGGTGGCCGTCGGGGAGCCCGCGGTCATGGAATGCGTGCCCCCCCGCGGCCACCCGGAGCCTTCGGTGTCCTGGAAGAAGGACCGGACGCGACTCAAGGAGGAGGAGGGAAGGATCACGGTGGGCGCCCGCGCGGGTCCCCGCCTAGAGGGCCTCAAGGGGGCGGCCTGGAGCTGAGCATGTCTCCCAGACCAGATGGGGCAGTGGCCTGCGATAGAGCAGGGTGGTCAGCACCGAGCCTGGACGGGCTGGGGTGGGATGCAGTGTGCCAACGGAGTCCCACCTCGGCCAAATCTCCCTGGGGGTTTCCCCGTTTGAGAAATGGCTGGGGTCTCCCTGGTTCCCCTCACTGACCCGTGTGTGAGGCCAGAGAATCAGACAAACGCCCTGGCTGGGTCCGAGAAGCTGAGCCGGTCGCTGCTCTGCAGATCCGTGCCGGGAAGCTGATGATGAGCCACACGTTCAAGAGCGACGCGGGCACTTATGTGTGCGTGGCCTCCAACATGGCTGGAGAGCGCGAGAGTGGGCCTGCGGAGCTTCTGGTACTGGGTAGGCACCTGGAGATTCGGGGGTGACGGGGTGCACAGTCTGTGCATCCCCCCAGCCCTGACCCTTCACTCTCGGCCTCTCCCTAGAGCGCCCCTCTTTCCTGCGGCGGCCAGTGAACAAGGTGGTCCTGGCTGACGCCCCTGTGGATTTCTCATGTGAGGTTCAGGGGGACCCTCTACCTCGTCTCCACTGGCGCAAGGAGGATGGGGAACTGCCCCCAGGCAGGTGAGACACCCACCCCCATCCTGCCCTGGGGGTTTGCCCTGCAAGGGCATGGTAGGTTTAATCCCTGGCCCCCCATATGGTCTCTCAAGCTTTGGCAGGAATGAACCTTGAGTGCAGAGCCAGGAGGACCCCCAGAGCACCACCAGGTGTATACTGTGTCCCCCGTGCCCCCCAAAGGATGCTCTGCCTACTCGCAATTCCCTCGCTGGCATGAGGCCCTATCTCTGCCCTCTGCAGGGCCACCTGCATTCGTGGCTCCAGGGGGTGGGGGGGACAAGCTATGATCCCCATAAGGCCACTGTGAATTCCTGGGGTCGAGAGCAGGGGTTCTGTCGCTGTGCCAACCCATCCTGGGGGTGGGGAGTGGTGCAGGTATGAGATTGGGAGCGACCACAGCCTCCGGATTGGGCGTGTGCATGCGGAGGATGAGGGCACCTACACCTGTGTGGCGGAGAACAGTGTGGGCCGCGCCGAGGCGTCTGGCTCACTCACTGTGCACGGTGAGGACTGGCCCAGGGCAGCGGAGGAGGGTCCAGACTGAGGGGGGCTTTTGAGGGTGGGGGGGGACACTTGAGCCTTCAGGACTGAGGGAACAGGCAAGGTTGCCATGGGTGGGACGCAGCAGGCTCAGGGCGTCCCTCTGGCATCCCCCTCCCTGTTTAAAGCCTCACTCTCTGCTCCTCCATTCCCCTCCCCTTCACAGTGCCGCCCCAGCTGGTGACACAGCCCCAGGACCAGAGGGCGGCCCCCGGAGAGAGTGTGGCTTTCCAGTGCAAGACCAAAGGAAATCCCCCGCCCGCCATCTTCTGGCAGAAGGAAGGGAGTCAGGTGGGCGGCCAAGCTCAAGGGCACCCCCCCCGGCACCCTGAATCCTGCTCTCTGGTCTTCTCTTTTCCTGGGGGGTCCTCCCAGGAGCCCTCGAAATGTGTTTAGGAGGATCAGAGAAGAGCGTGAAATTTAAGAGGACTGGCTTGATATTAAGGCGGTTGGAAATTGCCCCGGAGTGGTAGCAATGGGAAGAATCTTCCTATTTGAGGGATGGAACAAATGCCTCTGATTTCATTCATTTCTCTCCTGCCCATGCTTTTGGGTCTCTGATTAACACCAGGCCTTGGCAGTGCAGGCCTGGCCCGGGGCTGCCCGGAGTTGGCCCTCACCCCCTCCTCTTTCAAGAGACAGCCACCAGGGGGAGCTCACGGCCACCCGACAGCAACTTCCAAACTGTTCTCTGAATTTACAGCCTGAGGTCTTCGAGGGAAGGCCGGGCACTGGCCTCACCCCTGGTCCCTCATTCCAAACCCACGGCCAAAGTTTCCAACATCTTCTCTGGGGGCTGGGACTCACAGACATTCAATTCTTAGATGAGCCAATGCTCTCACAGGGCTTAAGTTTACGCAGCCCCCCCGTGCTGTATGGTCTCCCCAGGAGAGACCCCTGATCCCAGAGCTGAGAGTAGCTTAGGGTCCCTACCGGGGATAAACCCAGCTCCCACCCCTCAAAAACAACAAAAAGTCTAAGCAGTAGAGGGAAGGAGTAAATGTTGGTCATTTATTTCTCATGGAAAAATGTTAACCCGCAAAAGTCAAAGTCCACACCATCAGTCAAAGTACTTGAAGATTTTCAAGTGATTAAGTGTAACCCCGACTCACAGATATCCTCCCTGTCATCTTTGGGGAATCAGGGGTGGACGGGGAAGAGCAGCAGGCTCAGTTTCTCTCCTCCCATGAGCCCTCTTGTGCCACTCTGCATGGGCTCAGGTGGGACTGGCCGGGGTCCGAGGGAACCCCTGGGCTCTGGGTTGTATGGGAACGGGGGCGCTCTTGGCCCTGTGCCAGCTCACCCCTCGGGGCTCCCATCCCAGGTCCTGCTCTTCCCCAGTCAGTCACTGCAGCCCACAGGGCGTTTCTCTGTGTCGCCGGGGGGCCAGCTTAACATCACCGGGGTGCAGAGCGGGGACGCTGGCTACTACGTGTGCCAGGCAGTCAGCGTGGCTGGCAGCATCCTGGCCAAGGCCCTGCTGGAGGTGAAAAGAGGTGTGTGTCTGCGAGAGGCCAGAGGGGCACCCACCAGCTGCTGGCCTGCAGGGTGGGCGGGTGGAGAGGAGTAGGGTAAGACAATGGAACCCACACTCTTCTCTCCCCCAGCCTCCTCCGAGGCACTGCCCCCTGTTATCCTCCAGGGACCAGCCAACCAGACACTGGCCCTGGGGTCCCCCGTGTGGCTGCCCTGCAGAGTCAGTGGGAGCCCCCCGCCCCGTGTCCACTGGAAGAAGGATGGCCAGTGGCTGCAGGAGGACCTCCCCCGGCTCCGTCCACTGGCCAACGGTACCCTGTACATCACCAGCGTGCAGGTGCGTCTCCCCCGAGACCTTCAGGACTCAGAGACCTGGAGCCACAGGCCCAGCACTGAGAAGCAGTGGGGTCACCCCCCCACCCTGCCGTCTCCCCAGGGCTGGCTCTGTCCCCTTCAAGGCTCTGTTCCCTCAACCTGCTATGTGCCACCATGTTCTCACCCCACCTTGCCCCTCCCCTCCTCTCCTGTCCAGGAGCTGGACTTGGGGCTCTACAGCTGCGTGGCTCAGAGTCCTGCAGGCGAGGCCTCGTGGAGCAGCTGGCTGCGGCGCCGCCGTGAGTCGTGCATGTGTCCTTCGTCCTACCTTCACTTTTTTCTAAACCAGCTTCAAGAGGCCAATGTCCAGGGTCATCTCTGGCCTGGCTGGAGGGGGTGCAGCTGTGAACCTGGGGGGTGCAGATGAGGGTGGCTTTGTCCCCCTTAGTACCCTCTGCACCCTCACCGCCCCTCTGGGGCCACCTTTTTCCACCCTTCTCACTAAAGACAATCTCCCCACTGCAGAGGACTGGGGAGCATCCCCAGAGCCCCCTGCCGAAGTCAGCACTCCACCTGGGCCTCCCTCGAAACCCGTGGTCACCGAGGTCACCAAGAACAGCGTTACGCTGACCTGGAAGCCCAGTGAGGAGGCTGGGCCTCGAGTGTCCTCCTATGTGGTCGAGGCCTTCAGGTGCCATGCGGGGCCTTGGGCACAGACCTAGGGAAGCGGGTGGGGGGGCACAGAGGTCTGAGAGAGGCCAGAGGGCACAGACTCGGGGCACTGTCACCTTCCCTTGCAGCCAGGCTGTGGGTAGCGCGTGGCGCACGGTGGCCGATGGGGTACAGCTGGAGACGCACACAGTGGGGGGCCTGCAGCCCGACACCACCTACCTCTTCCTGGTGCGAGCCGCGGGCGCCTGGGGCCTCAGTGAACCCAGCCCCGTCTCTGAGCCTGTCCACACCCCAGGTGAGGAACCGTCCCCACTCTTGGCTGTGTCTGGGGCATAGAGCTGGAGAGGAGAGGGGAGGAGAGGAGGGGGGAGGGAAAGAGGGAGGAGGGTGGAGGGAAAGACAGGGAGCAGAGGGGAGGGTGGAAGAGGAGAAGGGAGAAGAGGGGAGGGGAGGATGGGAGAGCAGAAGGGAGGATGGAGACCAGAGGAGAGGAGGAGGAGGGAAAGGAGGAGAGGGAAGAGGAAGGTAGAGAAGGGGAAAGAATGAAGGAGAGGGAAGGGTAGAGTGGGGCAGGGTTCAGTCATCTGGACCCTTGGGGGACAGGGAGGATTGGGGGACAGAAGGGGTCCTCACTGGGACTTGTGCGTGGGGGACTCCTCAGGCTCACTGACCCCTCCCAGTTCACCCTGGACCTGCTCTTGAGTTTGGCACTGCCTGTGGGGGTCACTGCGGCTGCCCCCCGCTGAACAGTTCTCTCTCTATCCTAGCCAGCAACCCCACACGGCCAGCGGATGACCCATGGCGAGGCCAGCGGGGACTGGCCGAAGTGACCGTGCGTGTGCAGGAGGCCACGGTCCTGGGACCCGGGACCCTGCAGGTGGCATGGACTGTGAGTGTGGCAAAGGGCCAAGGCTGGGGTGGGAGTGCCAGGGGCAGGCGGCAGGGCTGGCCTGGACCTGTCCTGCGTCCATAGGTGGAAGGGCCCATGCAGCTGGTGCGTGGCTTCCGCGTGTCCTGGAGGGCATTGGGCTCCGGATGGACAGTGCAGGACCTGGCCGCACCAGGCCCCCAGACCACGGTGCTGAGGGGGCTCCCCGCAGGTGCCCAAATCCAGGTCAAGGTGCAAGCCCAAGGCCAGGAGGGACTGGGCACTGAGAGCCCTGTGGTGACCAGGAGTCTCCCGGAGGAGGGTGAGAGGCCGGGGCTGGTGGGGTGGAGGGTTGGGGTGGCAGGAGGGGGTGGTGGTGACTGTGCCCTTCTCCACTCTGCCCAGCCCCCAGTGGTCCCCCCCAGGGAGTGGCCGTGGCCTTGGGGGGTGACGGAAACGGCAGCATCACCGTGACCTGGGAACCACCACTCCCTGCCCAGCAGAATGGGGTCATCAGAGAGTACCAGGTAAGGGTGGGGACTGTGGGGTGGGCACCCAGGGTGGTCTGGGGTTGCACTTGTGACCCGAACCCCTGCCTCCCGGCAGATCTGGTGTCTGGGCAATGACAGCGGCGCCCACATCAACCGCTCTGTGGCCGGCTGGGCCCGCTCTGCGGTGCTGCGGGGCCTGCGGCCAGGCCTGCTCTACTGGACCCGGGTAGCGGCGGCCACCAGCGCGGGCGTGGGCGTGGCCAGCGCCCCGGTGCGGGTGCAGCTGCGTGAGTGGGGGCGTGGGGGGTGCTGCGAGCCGTGGGGGCGGGGGGAGGTCCAGAACCGGCCCCTCCCAGCTGCCCGGCCCTCATCTCTCCCATCCCCACAGCGTCCCCCGCCCGCGTCCGAGGAGCCCGGGCTGGAGGCCGGGCCCGGGCTGGCCGAGCGCCTGGCGCGGGTGTTGCGGGCACCAGCCTTCCTGGCGGGCGGCGGCGCGGCGTGCGGGGCGCTACTGCTCGGGCTCTGCGCTGCGCTGTACCGGCGCCGGCAACAGCGCAAGGAGCTCAGCCACTACACGGGTGAGAGCGGGCGCGGGGGAGGGTGCGCGGGGTCTGGGGCGCGGTGCTCGGGGGTGCAGGGCGCGGGGTGCAGGCCACGGGGCGCGGGGTGCAGGGGTGGGTTACAGGGTGCGAGGCGCCGGGTGCGCGTTAGGGGTGTGGGAGTGCGGGGTGCGGCGTGCGGGTTGTGGGACTTGGGGTGCGGGCTGCAGGGCGTGAGGTGCGGTTGCAGGGTGCAGGTTGTGGGTTGCGGGATGTCGGGCGCAGGGTGCGGGCTGCAGGGTGCAGGTTGTGGGTTGCGGATGTCGGGCGCAGGGTGCGGGCTGCAGGGCGCGGGGTGCGGATTGACGGGCGCGGGATGCAGGGTACTGGATGCAAGGTGCAGGGTGCGGGTGAGAGGGGACAGAGGGGCGCCTCAGGAGCCGAGCTGTGCCTTCCTCTCGGGCCTCAGGGCTCGTGTGGAGGTTGGGGGAGCCGTGCTGTGGGCAGCGGGGTGCCGCCCGAGTCCCAGCGGTAACTGGGGTGCGGGTCCAGTGCAAGGTGGTCCCAAGCCCCCCTCAGAGCGGCGCAGGTCTGGGTGTGCAGGTAAAAATCCCAACCCCTCCTGGAGCTTGAGGAGACTCTGATCCCGGAGGCTCCCCCACCCCAGCCTCCCGGGTCACTCGCCGCGGGGGGTACCTGACGCCCCCATTCCGCGTCTCTTCCCCCCCCCCGCCCCCCGTGCCTCCCGGAAGCCTCCTTCGCCTACACGCCTGCAGGTGAGCCAGCGCTGAGCCCCGGGGACTGCACCCCCGCTTGGGGGGCCTGTCTCACTGCGTCTCCCCCTTCCCAGTGTCCTTCCCCCACTCCGACGGCCTCTCCGCAGCCAGCGGCAGGTAACGCTCCTGACCCACGGACCCCCGAGCCGCGCCCCCCAGTGCCGGGCCCGCGCCCCCATCCGCACCCTGCCCTGTGCCCCCCGCAGGCCGCCCGCCGGCCTCGGCGCCCCCTACCCGTGGCTGGCGGACTCCTGGCCCCACCCGTCCCGGAGCCCCTCGGCCCAGGACCCCAGGGGCAGCTGCTGCCCGGGGGGCCGTCCTGAGCCGGATGACAGATACTACAATGGTGAGGACCCCCGGGACCCCCACCCGTGCCCCCTCTCTCCACCACGCATCTCTCCCGGGGCTCTCGCCCGCTACTCTTCCCTAAGGGCTGGGGGGGCCGGGGGTCCAGGGGCTGGGGGAGGGGGGGTCCTTCTCCCTTGGCCCCGCCTTCCTGCCTCTGCTCCCGCCTCCGCTCTCTCCCCAGAGGCGGGAATTTCCCTGTACCTGGCTCAGACGGCGCGGGGTGCAGCGCCCCCTGCCGAGGCTCCGGGGTACAGCGGCGTGGACCCCGCCGGGGAGGAGCTGCAGACGTTCCACGCGGGCTTCCCGCAGCACCCCTCGGCGGGCTCGGGCTCCTGGAACCCCTACGCGCCCCCAGAGTGGAGCGAGGGGGACGGCGGTACGGTTCCATGCCCGCGCCCGCGTTCCCGCCCTGGAGCTCCCGCCCCCTCCCCTCCCGGCCTGGCCTGTCCCCTGTCCCCCTCGGCCCTTATCTGGGGTCCCCCACCCCGTCCTCAGGAGCCAGGGCGGGCAAGGCGAAGCTCCTGGGGAAGCCGGTGCCCATGCCCGCCCTCAGTTGGCCGGAAGCCCTGCCCCCGCCACCCCTGTCCAGCGAGCTGAGCGGCCTGGAAGGGCCTGAACAGGAGCTGGAGGGCAGGTAAGCACCCCACATCCCCCAGGAGGGGAAGGGGCGCCGCGAATAGGGGCAGCTCCGAGGTCCCTCTGCACCGCCTCTGTCCCCAGCTCACAGCCAGATGAGTGGTGCCCACCGGTGGCCGGGAGGAGCCAGCTGGCAGGGCCTCGGTCAGCAGGCTCGGCCCCTGCATCCCCTACCCCATCCTACGGGCAGCTGTCCACTGCCCCCCTGACGCCCTCCCCGCCTGCCCTGCCCCCGCCGCCCCCTGACCTGCCGCGCCTGCCACAGGGGTCCAGGTAGGACCCCCCCCAGCCCTGCCTCTGTGCAGAGTGATGGGAGGGAGGTCTGGGGACTGTTCTGGGCATGGGGGTGGGGGGAGTTAACAGGAGCTGGAAGGGAGGGTCTTAGGACTGTCGGGGGCATCAGGGAGGGTGACAGGAGCTGGGAGGGAGGGAGGGTCTGGGGACTGTCCAGTTCTTGAGAGGTTTTTTTTTGGGGGGGGGAAGCAGGCCAGGGTTGCCCTCTTGCCCCCCACCCGCTCCCCAGCCTGCTGGCTCAGCTCTTGTCCATCTGAGCACCAGGCTGAGCGGAGTCCACATCTACTTTGTGACAACGTGTGTGGTTGCAGGAAGGTGCCCCTGGGGCCCAGCTCTCCCCTCAGCGTGTCTCAGCCTGCGCTGGGTAGCCACGAAGGCAGACAGGGGCCTCTGGGCGCTGGCCTGGCCCCCTCCCCACCCCTCAGTCCGGGCCTGACCCCTATTATGTCAGGTGAGTCTGTGGAGCCTCAGCCTACCCCTCTCCACCCCCCCCCCCCAGAGCTGGTCTTGCTTCAGCTGCCCCTGAGACACCCCTTCTGGCCTCTGCCCCAGGGAGGAGCCGGCAGGGGCCGGGGGAGCAGGCGCCCCGTGGCCGGGCCCGGAAGAAAGCCAAGGCTCTTCCCTGCAGGCGGGAGCAGAGCCCCGGGGGTAAGCCGGGCAGGCAGGGGAGGGGGCTGCAGGGCTGGGGGAGACGGACCCCTGAAGCAGGCCTCTCCCCAGACCTGCCGCCACCCCCCTTTGCCGCCGCCGGGGGAGGAGTCGCACTGGGGCCCGGGGCTGAGGGCCGTGGGCAGCATGTCCTCCTTGGAGCGGGTGCACGGCGGGGAGAGGAGGCCGGCTCCAGCGGCACCCCTAGGGGCACAGAGGGGCCCCCACCTGGACGGTAAGGGGGGGTTGCTGCAGGAGCATGTGGGTCTGGAGGCTCTGGGCCCAGCTGGTGTCACTCAAGGCCCAGGTGGCTTTAATGCCAGGCCAGTGAAGGCCCCAGGCGTGGCCTTTTTGGGGACTGTGGCAGAGGGTGGATGGGGCTGGGTGTCTCAGAGCACCCGTGTCTGGACGCCCCGTAGTGCCCATCTAGGGCTGGGCTGGGGGGTTACCCCTGACTCTGTCCCGCTGCAGATGAGGCCTGGGCCCCCTACAGCCGACCTGGCTTCCTGGCACGGGGCCCCAGCACCAGCTCCACGGCGGGCAGCAACTCGTCCAGGGGCTCCAGCGGTTCTCGGGGCTCCCGGGGTCCCGGCCGCAGCCGCAGCCGCAGCCAGAGCCACCGCCCAGGACAGAAGCGCCGAGAGGTGGGGCCCAGGGGGCTCAGAAGTGGGGGGGTGCGGTGAGGGAGGATGGGCGAGAAGGTAGGAAGGGACTTGGGGATGTCAAGGGAGGCGGCCCAGTGGGTGAGGGGAGGGGTGGGCTGGAAGAAGGGACACGCGTGTGGACAAGCTGGCGGCCTCAGGGAGCTGACTGGAAGAGGCTGCTTGGCCCCTTGGCCCAGACCCAGCCCTGCCAACCTGACCCTCTCTCTCCCTAGAACCCGAGATGACCCCGGAGAGAGTCTGGGGTGTGCTGAGGGAGTGTCCTCACCCTGCACCCCCTCCTGGGAATGAGGAGCGAGCGGAAAGGCAGTGACACTCGGGCACCCCGTGAATGAACAACGGAGGCCTTGGACCCAGGACCCCGTGCTCCCCTTCCCTCTGCCTGACTCGGTGACGAGGCCAATAAAGTGTCCATTCCAGCCCGGGGTCTGACATCTGCCTGGGCAGGGGTGTAGGTCCGGGCTGCAGTCGCTCCGGCCCCCTCTCCCCCACTGTCAGGTGCATGGCCAGAAGCTGCCTGGTGCCACCCCCAGCTCTGACCACACATGACCTCCCCCAGACCCCCCATATCCCTGTGGGCCGCTGCCCCTCATGAAAGCCATCGTGTTTCCAAACTCAAAAAAAATGACCTGATGGCGGGGGAGCCCCTGGCTGAGGGGGACCCGGGTCTTGTAGGCGCCCGGGCTCCCTTCACATCCGGCCAGGGCGCGGTGTGTGAGCTGCAGGGCTCAGGGGGCCGCCCCTGCTCTCACTGGCCACTGCACCACCAGCCCTCAGCCAACGCCCCGGAGGGCCGGCTTTGACCTACGTGAGGCCCCCCTTTCTCCTGTCGGGTGACCATGACCGGGGCTGGAAGGTTTTCAAAAGGAATTTTACCAGGAAGTTGAAAGAAAAACAAAATCCAAAAAAGGCCAAGCGAGCAGACAGGAAGGGAAGCGTCCGTGCATAGAGCTGATTCCTCTCCAGGCTGGGGTCTGAGGGTCAATCTGGAAACGCCCAGACCTCCCCGCACCACCCACCGCCTGAGGTTCAGGGATTCATCGCCCCTGCTCCCCCAGAACTGCTTTCCAGAGGGCCTGGGTCACGCTCAGGAGCCCCGATGTCCTGCCCAGAAGGGGAGGCGTGCCCACCCCGGCCCCCCAGAAGCCCAAAGGACCAGCTGCTGCTGTCTCCCAGGTGCCGCCCCACAGGCGCTAGAAGAACCACGCAAGACTCAGCCGGTTCCGAGCATCTTTCCGAAGCGCAGGGCCAGCGGGAGGGGCTGTTTCCCACATCCCACCCTCCCTCGGTCCGCCCAGAGCCTCGTGTCCAGAAGGTCCCCATTCCTCGTTGGTCTTCCTCTCTTGCTTTCACGGGCCACTGGGGAAAAGGTGGAGTCGGACCCTCCCTGGGAAGGTGCAGGGAGGCTGGGAGGAAGGTTCTAGATGTTCCATGCCCCACAGCCCTCGACCAGCGTCCGTGTTGCTCTCCAGAGAGCTCTGGCCTCACTTCCTGTGGTCCGAGTGGGTGAGAAATGAGGTGGGGGTCAGGGGGGCTGCTCCAGAGGCAGAGGCCTGGGCCTCCAGGGGATGGGGGATGCAGAAAAGCCGGGGTGGGGAGGAGGTGGGTAGAACTCAGGCCCCCAGGCTCCCCCAGGTTCCCCGGTTGTTGGTCTGGAGCTTCTTTCGGCTTCCGGTCTCTTTCACAGTGTGGGAGAAGGCTCCCGGAGGCCCCGAAGGTGAACCCTGACCTTGGAGGCAAGCCCCATTGTGGCAGCCCAGGCTGAGTCTCTCGCTGTCTCAGGGACACTTCAGGGGGAGTCTGCAGGGGGAGTTGGACGAGAGTGGGTCACCCCCTGCTGCCCCCTCTCCTGCAGGCCTGTCCTCCCCTCCTGCCAATGGGTCCTCCCGGCTACTCACCAGAGGCCTTGCGTGCTGGGCGGCGGCGTTGACTTCTCCGCGTGGGGAGCGGCCCGTCGGGGGGCCAGGGGGGCAGCACCCCCACCAGCGGCTGCATGTGGCTGCTGTCCAGGCCCTCCAGCCAGTCTGTCCTCCACTCCCACAGGGACAGGGAGAGAGCGTCCCGGGGAGACGGGGGTGACGAGTTATCTGTTGGGGAGAGCAGAGCTGTCTGGTGGCCCGAGCTTCACCCCTGCGCTGGTTTCCAGCAGAAGCTCAGGGCCCAGGGGCTGGAGCAATAGCCCAGCGGGGAGGGCATTTGCCTTGCACGCGGCCAACCCGGGTTTGATCCCCAGCATCCCATATGGTCCCCCGAGCACCACCAAGAGTAATTTCTGAATACAGAGCCAGGAGCAACCCCTGAGCATCACTGGGTGTGACCCAAAAAGAAAAAAAAAAAGAAGAAGCAGCTCAGGGCCCTCACCAGAGCCTCTGCCTGGAGCCGCCAATGCCGGCCAGTCTCTGGGTGCTCAGGCCGGGAACTGAGGCTGCCCTACTGGCTCCTGGACACCCGCCTTACTGGGGTCACCTCCATCCCAGATGAGCCAGGGAGGTTGGGGGGCAAAGGGCAGACGGGGGGGGTGTCTGAGACAGAGTGGGGACAGCAAAGGCCAGAGGCCGCTCTCGAGGCAGCTCAGGAACGGGACTGGAGAGGCAGGAAGGGACACATTTCCTAGACTGTCCTGCTTCTCAGGGCTGACCCCAGCAAGTCACTGACCCTAAGTGACTCCCGCTGCCTCCCCTGGAAAAGAAAAGGAAGGAACATTTCTGGTAAATACGGAATGGGGGGAGGAAGAGCATGGGGACACTCCGGTCCCCCCCGTGTGACCCCACAGGGAACCAGCAAAATAGGCCTCGTGGTCGGGGCTGCAGCAGGGTTCCCGTGGGAAGGTAAGGAGTAGGACAGGGCAGCACGCATACCCGTAAAGACGCAGTCTGTCTCCTTGGGCTCCAAGCCCAGGCCAAAGCTGTCCACGGCCACGGCTAGAGCCCGGGCGAAGTGGGTGTCAGCCAGGAAGGAGCCGTCGGAGGAGCTGACGAGGCTGGCCCTGGCACTGGGGGCGTTGTCCTCGGACGCTGAGCCCCAGCCGTTGGCCAAGGAGCCCTCACTGGGGGTGGGGGTGGGGCAGGGCCGAGGGGGGCACAGCAAGCTGGCCCCCTCCGACCCTACCCCTGCTCCCGCCCGGCCCATGTCAGCCAGGCCTGAGGCGGGGGGCACGCTGATGTAGCCGTAGGTGACCGGCGGGGAGGGAGGCCTGGGTCTAGGCGATACGCTGTTCCTGGAAAGAGGGGCAAGGGAGGCAGGGCAGAACATTCTAGAATGTGGGGAGGGAGGCACAAGGAAGGGCTGCTCACCTGGGGGTCTCCTCGCCCTCACTGAGCTCCAGACACAGGGCCACCTCCTCTGGGGTCAGCACGCTGTCCTGGTCGTCCTCCAGTGAAGAGAGGGAAGAGCTGGACAGGCGGCTGGAGGCTGGGCTGGGCCCCGAGAGGGAGGAGGCCGGGGGGCTGGAGGGGCTGGGGGGACCCGAAGGGATCAGGCCAGGGTGGGGGGCTGCCGACAGGGGCAGGTGGGAGGGAGGCTGGGGCTCCAGTGGGTGCCTGTGGGGGGTGAGATGGTGCAGGAAAGTTAGTGTAGTTCCGAGGTACTGTCACCTCCTCCCCAGCCCCTGTCCCATCCCCAGAAACTCCCCCCGCCCGGACCCCATGCTCCAGATCCCCCCTGCCTCTTACCTGGGCTGAGCTCCCTGAGCGGGGGCTCCCTGAAGCGAGAGAGGTGTCGGGGGGAGAGGGCGCGTGGCCAGCTCGTTGGAGCTGCTGCGGAGCTGTGGGCCCAGCGCCCGCCAGGCCACCAGCGCTCGGGGAACGGGACCTGGGCATGAGAAGGAGAGAAGAATGCTGTCCCCACACGCGACCAGGGGCTCCGGCCTGCCACCACTACCTCTCCCTCCAGGGTCCCTCCTCACCTGGACTCTGGGAGAGGTTCCTGGTGCCTCCACTCCCCGGCTCCCACGCCCACAGCTCCACTGGGCGGCTGCCACGAAGCAGCGGAGAGCTGTTGGCCTGATGCAGCTCTAGAAAGGGAAGTCACTACTGGGGGGCACGCCAGGGCGGGCTTCTGACCCCCAACTGCGAGCTCTGCCTTGTCACCAGCTAAGCAGCAGTAGGAAAGCGCTGCTACTCCCGCGTCCACCCAGCCAGACATGTTCGGTGGAAGGAGCTAAGCCAAGTGGGGACCCCACTGAGGGGCCCATGAAGTGACGCAAGTGCACAGGCCTTGCATGTGCCAGGCCCTGGGGTGATCCCCAGCATGGCCTGGCACAGCTGGCTGTAGTCCTGGAGGCCCCTGGTGTGACCATGCAAAGCAAGAGCGGGGCAAGGAGAGGTGAGGAGAGGCGGGCCGCCTTCTGCTTGCTGACTGCCTTGGGAGCGGGTGGCCAGCCCCGCGGAGAATGAAAGTTTGGGGCAGTTCCAGGCCAGGTTCCAACTTTCCATTCCTGGGCAGCTACATGCAGGCATGGCCCCTCCCCACTTTCTATTACGTTCATAGACCCTCCCCGGCCTTACCCTGCTTCTTCTTGGCCTTCCAAACCTCCGTGGGGGCCAGGGACAGGCGCGGGGAAGCGAGGCCCCTGCGGCTGCAGAGGCTGTCGGAACTGGGCCAGGGGCTAGAGAGTCGGGCCCGCTGGGGTGGGAGACGCCGGACGGCGGGGGTCTGGGGGCTTGGCCGGGCTGGGGGGCTGGAGGGCACCTCAGCGATGAGAGAGCCATAAAAAGTGCTGGTGTCGGGAAGCAAAGGCACTCCGGGGCTCCGCGGGTCCCAGGAGATCACTGAGAACAGGAGGAGGTCACCGGTGGGTGCACGGATCCTCCCCAGCCCTCGACCCGCCTCGGCCCCACTGGACATGCTCACAGGAATGACGCCCGTCCAGAGCATCCCGAGGGTCCATTCCCAGCCGGCTGCTGAGGCTGCTGGTGCTGCTCAGGTCCCGAGAGCCAGACGTGGAACGCCACGTGTCCGCCAGCCACGGAGAGTCGCTGTGGTCCATCCTGGAGCAATGGGGCAGGGCCGGTGAGGCCGGTGGAACTCTGATTGGCTAAAACCTCCAGTAGGGACTCTGATTGGCTAATTCCTCCAGCTCGCACGAACGCTGATTGGCTAAGACTTCCAGCCTGCAAGGACTCTTATTGGCTAACACCTCCAATAGGAATGCTGATTGGCTAAAACCTCCAATAGTGACTCAGATTGGCTAAAACCTCTAGCTCACAGGGATGCTGGTTGGCTAAGCCCTCCAGCATTCAGGGAAGCGGGAAAAGTTAAAAAGCCTAGGATGGTGGTGGCAGTATGTGGCTTCGCAGCCTATTACCCACTCCTTAAGCTCTACCGCCCCAGACTCTGTGTCCCGCTTGAATCCTGGCACCCAGGAAAGGCAGCGGAGGCTCAGAGCACTGCCCGGAGCCAGTTTCAGAGTTCCCAAGTCCTGTAGCCTCTCTGTGCGGAGCGTGCATGCCCCAGGACCTCCCCCTGGGAAGTGACCGCTGGCTTCCAGGTGAGGACGCTGCTGTGACAAGAACAGAGTCCTGGCTGAGCTGGGCTGCCACACCGCTGCCCGGGGGCGTCTGAACCAGGCTGGCTGCCTGCATGATATCCCAGAATAGGACCAATAGTCTCTAGTACCGCAGAGTCCCCCACAAACGGCGAGGAGGCCCCAATTAAAAGAAAAATAATCCTCCTTTTCGGGGGAGTCATTTACTGAAATATTTGCAGAAGAGAAAGGAATAGGGATCAGACTCGAGCACCTTCTGCCTGAAAACCTCTCATTACTGCTTGCTTACCGAAATGGGGACCAGGGGTCTGGCACTGCCCATAGGCCCTTGGTCTGGCTTCCAGTGCTCTCCTGACCCTGTGCTCTGGCCTCTCTAACCCCTGTGCCCCCAAACTAGAACAAATGCTTGTCTTTCTCTGGGAACCTAGTGGGTCTTTCCTGGCTATTCTCTTTTTTTGTTTTGTTTTATTCTTTTTTGGGGGGGGGATCACACCCAGCCAATGCTCAGGGGTTACTCCTGGCTCTGCACTCAGGAAACACTCCTGGCAGTGCTTGGGGGACCATATGGGATGCTGGGAATCAAACCCGGGTCAGCCGCGTGCAAGGCAAACGCCCTACCTGCTGTGCTATTACTCCAGCCCCGTCCTCGCTGTTCTCTTTGCTCCTCTGTTTCTTGTTATCAGGCCAAGGTAAAGTCTTACTTCCCCGTGTCCCTGTTCTAGCCCCCCCACACCTCCAGTTATTTTGCACACATTTCTGGGCTGCATTCATGTGCCAGTGTGGCTGTCTCTGCTGAGACTGAGAATTCTGACTGTTGGAACGAAGTTCATGCAGACAGGTATCAGAATGAATAGAGGTAGGGGCCCATGGAGCCTGAGACATTTGGGGACAAAGCAGACAGAGCCAGGAGGTGGCTGGAAGAGAAAGTCAGAAACACGACCCTGGTGTGTGGGAACATAGGTCCAGATTGAGGATTGGATGGCCAAAAGGGAGCCCAAAGACCCAGCTGTGGCCAGCACATATAGGTGGTCAGGAGACTCCTGTTCACGGGTTGGGAAAGGTCCCACTGGCAGAGACTAAGGGAGGTGCTTCCTTCTGCTTGTCTCCTGAACGTAGACTCCTTCACCCTGGGCAGCTGTCCCTGCCAACTCGCCAGCAACGGGAATCACCATGGGAAGGATCCCTCCTATGGGGCAGAACACCCTCTGCTGGAAATCTGGGTGACTCCAGGCAGGGCAATGAGCATTGCAGAGTAGACCCAGGGGAGCCTGGTGGGACCAGCGGCAACAGGGAGGGCCTGCCCTGAGTTGGGAGCGGTATGTATGATGGTGATGGGGTCGTTGGGGGTCAGGGAGATCCAGGTGGGGGCCCAGCAGTGCACGGGCCCTGTTCCCTCACCTGTGCTTTAGAATGGCGTCCTCACTCGTGTATCTGTACAGACCTGCAGAGGGCAGGAGGAAGGCCACAGCTGGAGGCCTGTCTCTGGCCCCGCCATGGGCTTTCAGGCCTGGGTCCCTGGGAACGCTCCCCCCTCACCTGGGCCCAGGTGCATCCCAGCTCGGCGCCGGCGGTGGACACACACAGCAGTGCCCAGCAGCAGTAACCAGAGCCCTACGGCTCCGCTGGCGATGACCTCAGGCCGGGCCAGGGCGGCCTTCAGCTGCTTCAGTGTCCACGGCGCCCTGCTCCCTGGCTCTCGGGCCGCTTGCTCCACGGGCTGCTCTATATGGGATAGGAGCTCAGTCTGGGGGAGGCCAGCGGGGATGATGGGCTGGGGCTTGGGGGCGGGGGACCTCACCTAGTAAGAGGCAGACAGGTGTGCTGGGCTCCCCAGCCCCGGCTCCCGTCATGGCGGCTACCTGCACGCAGTAGGAGCCTGGCATCCGCGTGGCCATCTCCAGCTGAGTCTGCTCACCCGCCACTGTCCAGTTGACGGAGGGCACAGAGGCATTTCCCAGGCTCCAGACCTGAGGCAGAGCAGAGATGGGCAGCCCCAGGACCCTACACCTGTTCCCTGGCACACCTCCACTTTCTGTTACCCTATAAGGCAGAGACACTTCTCTCCAGGTTGAGGAAGAGGCACATATAACAGTCTAGGAGACGGGAGGATGGGGAGACGGGAGGATGGAGAGACTGGAGGATGGGGAAACGGGAGGGTGGGGAGACGGGAGGGTGGGGAGATGGTAGCGTGGAGAGACCGGAGGAAGGGAAGGTGGGAAGATAGAGAGACAGCAGACCTGGGGAGAGAGGAGACCTGGGGAGACGAGAGGCTGGGGAGACATGAGATCTGGGGAGACGTGAGGATGGAGAGATGGGAGGATGGGGAGACTGGAGACCCAGGGAGACTGGAGACCGGGGGAGACGCGAGGCCCAGGGTGCTCAGGCCACAGAGGCTTTGGGGATTCAGAGGAGTGTGAAGATCAGGGTTGGTCCCCCACTATCCTCCATGAATTTTGATGTGTTAAGTACAGGAAGGACCCCAGATGCGCTTTTCTAGCAGGTTATTGGGGCCCTGCTCATCCTGATTCCCTCCTGCCAGGGCCTCAGCCTCACTGCCCAGTCTGAACAGGGGACGCAGGCCGTGTGCTCGCAGAGGCCAGGGTCTGGCAGTGCAAGCATCAACCACGGAAGTTTCCTTTGTGCCCAGAGCGAGGGTCTCTGGGGAGGCCAGTCCTAGGGTGTTGGGTGAGTTGGCCTGGGGGGTACCTGGTAGCCACGGATGATGCCGTTGTGGTGCTCAGCTGGCGGTGGGGCCCAGCTCACGAGGACGCTGCCATTGTTAGCCTTGAGGGTCACCCCCTGAGGCGGGGCACTGGGCACTGGAGAGGTGGGGACAGAGGGGAGGAGTGGAGGGAGAGGACTCAGGGGGCAGAGCTAAACTCAGGGATGTGGCCCAACCCCCCAGATGGCTGTGGGGTCTCGCGGGGTCCCCCGGGCCCCCACAACTGGTACTGACCTTGCTCAGGCAGCCTCAGGAGCAGCACGTTGCTGTCGGGGCCGTAGGCGCGGCCAGAGGACGGTCTCACTTTGAGCTCATAGTCCTGGCCCCAGCGAAGGCTGCCCAACTCGGCGCTCTGCTGACCGGCCAGCGGGGCCTCGGCCCACGGCGCTCCCTGGGCCCTGAACAGAGCTGTGTAGGACTCAGCTGGGGCAGCCGGGCCGCTCACCTGGAGGGGGTGGGCGTGGGCTCAGGGTCAGTGTCCCGCCTTTCTGGGCTTTGCCTCCCCCGGAGCACCGGCCTCACCTTCCAGCGGAGCCACACGGCAGGCCTGGATGAGCGGCCCCTGGCGGGCCCCGGGTTCAGAAGGGTCGCATTCTCCAGCTGAATGCGCACAGCCAGGAGCCTCAGGGGTTCCTTGGAGTCAGGGGGCTCTGTTGGGGTGCAAAGGGCTGGGCTGAGGCCTCCAGGCCAGGGAGCAGGAACCGGTCAGAGCTGTCAGCCTTGGAGGACCCCCAACTCCCAAATACCAGGGTGGAGTGGAGGCATCTCCCCCAGACGGCCCCCCACTCCCACAGCCGCCCTTACCCTGCACGGACACCCTGGCGGCTCGGCTCTCCCTGCGACCCGCCCTGTTGGCGGCCACGCACATGTAGGTGCCTGCGTCGCTCTTCTCGGCTCGCATCACCAGCAGGGAGCCTCGGACCATCTGTCAGGGAGGGCACCAGTGACCTCTTCAGGTGGGGGGCTAAGGCGGGGAGGGGAGCTTCGCCACCCACTCTGCTCACTCACCTTGTGCCTCCCGGGCTGCAGGGCCAGGGGCTTCCCGTCCTTCCACCACGAGACACTGGGCTCGGGGCGGCCCAAGGGCGGCCCGCACTCCAGAGTCACCTGCTCGCCCACTGTGGCCACCGTGTCCCGGGGCTGCACCCGGAAATCCTCCCGAAGGACTGTGGGGAAGGGAGGGGGCAGGAGAGCCGAGCCCAGGGGACCCATGGGTGTCTGAGCACACATTCCCCTCAGCCTACCTGGGCCCCCTCTGCCCCCTGCCTCCCCACCCCCCAGTCTCCCAGAGACACCCACCCAGTGCCTGTCCCCATCTCCCCAGCCTCACCAGCCACAGACAGCCGTGCACCCCGACTGACGGCTGTGCCCAGCCGGTTGCTGGCCTCACAGGTGTAGACCCCCAGCTCCTGTCCCTGGGCAGGGGCTGGCAGCAGCAGGAGGGTCCCGTCAGGCAGGAGGTGGTAGGGGTCCGTGGGAGTCATGCTCAGGGGCTGCCCGTTCAGCATCCAGCGGATGGTGGGAGGCGGCTGTCCTGAGGCTCGGCAGCTCATCCTGGCAGGCCCCTGGCCCTGCAGCAGCTGGTCCTCGGGGTGGACAGTGATCCGTGGTGGGGAGTCCTGAGCCAGGCCTCCTGGGAAGGGAGGGGCGTAGAATCAGTCTGGGTACTGACAGACCCCTGGTCCCTGCACACTCATCAGAGGAGGACCTGCAAAACTGGATGTCTGCCCCTCCATCTTGTGCGTAAGCACGTCACCAGCACCAGCATCACCATCACCACCACCATCACCTCTACCACCTCCACTACCACTTCTACCACCACCACAATCACCATCACCCCTATCACCTCCACCAACACCATCACTATCACCTCCACCACCACCATTACCTCCTTCATCACCACTTCCACCATCACCACCTTCACCTCCATCATCACCATCTCCACCATCACCACCTCCTCCCTCACCACCCTCACCACCTCCACCTCCACCATCACCTCCACCTTCACCTCCATCATCATCTCCTCCACCATCATCACCACCATCACTATTACCTCCACCACCGCCACCACCTCCACCCCCCCACCATCACCACCTTCACCTCCATCATCACCATCTTCACCATCACCACCTCCACCATCACGATTACCTCCACCTCCACCATCACCTCCACCTTCACCATCACCTCTACCATCACCAGCTCCACCAACACCACCTCCAAAATCACCATCACCTCCACCTCCGCCACCTCCACCATCACCATCATCATCACCTTCACCTCCACCATCACCATCGCCTCCATTACTACCACCTCTACCATCACCACCTCCACCATCACCACCACTACTTCCACTATCACTACCGCCATCACCACCTCCACCATCATTGCCTCTACCACGATTAGCATCACCACCTCCACTATCACTCTCCATCTCTACCATCACTGCTTCTACCTCTACCTTTATCACCATCACCAGCTCCACCATCACCCTCTCCACCTCCTCCACCATCATCACCTCCACCATGATCACCTCTTCCTCTGACAAAACCATCACCACCTCTACCACCACCTCCTTCACCATTGCCATCCCCATCTTCACCTCTGGGACCCCTCCAGCAAAAGAAAACTAAGAAGCAAGGGGCCCTTCTCCCTGGCCAGGGCACTGGGGGTGGGGGTGGGACCCAGACCTGGGGGAGGGAGGCCGCACTTACCTGGGCTGAGCAGAAGCAGAAGCGACAGGACACACCGGGCCCCGAGGAGGCCCGCTCGCACGGAGCCCATGGCCGTGCCGGCCAGGTCCTTGTCCCCAGCACTTTGTCCTGGAATTGTGAGCTCAGAGCGGAGGGAAGGAGGGGCGGGGCGCCAGTTGTTTGTGGCCGAGGCTGCCCCAGGAGGGAAGCAGCTCTGAGGAAACCGATGCTTCCTGCCTAGCCCTCCTGCCTTGGAGGACTGGGAGGAGACCCGAGGAGAGACTCTGACCTTGACCCGGCACCTGACCCCCTCGCCATGGACCTTGAGAGCCGGTCAGGGCTTCCTTGCAGCTCGTGTTCCCAAGGAACCCCCCACCCCCGTCTTCATCCTTGGTGCCCAATCCTCCTGGGATTCAGCCTCCGCCCCTTGCTTCCAAGTGGCCCTCGCTGGAGCGGAAGCAGAGGGGGAGCAGGAGGGGCTTGGCTTCCTTGGGACAGACAGGCGGGGAGGGCATGGACAGAGGGGTGAAGGCCCCGGGGGCCTCCTCGTGGGTCCCTTGGCGTGGTGTCCACTCTCTTGCCTAGTGTGCTGCTGTGTCCTCCGGCCCGGGCATGAAATGAGTCTTCCCAGGCCGGAGCCCCTGGTTTGCAGGTTTGCAGCCGGCCACTCTCTAGAGGCCCAGTCCCTGTTTACAAGGCTCTTCCTTCCACACCTGGAATCTCAGCCATTTCCTGGACTTGTTCCCGGAAGGCCAGAGCTGGCTGCTGGGGTCTCGGAGGAAGAGTGTGTGGCCTTTGTTCCCCATGGTGCCTGACCGGCTCCTCTGCTGGGCCAGCACCAGCTCAGCACTGCCCCCGCCCCCTGCACTGCCACAGCTGCATGCAGGGTGGGGGGAAAAGGTCCTGCCCGCAGCCCTCTCCCCTCAGATGCACCCCAAAGAAGCTGATCAGAGCAGGAGACTGCCGGAGTCTCTGGGCTTTCCTGTGGGGAAAAGAGGAGATGAACTGGAAGGCGAGGGATCAGGTGGGGCTGAGCGATGTGACAGTGGGGAGGGCGTTTGCCTTGCATGTGACTGATCCTATTCTATTCCCAGCATCCCAAAGGGTCCCCTAAGAGGGCCAGGAGTGATTCCTGAGTACAGAGCCAGGAGTAGTCCCTGAGCATTGCTGGGTGTGGTCCGGAAACAAAACAAAACAAAACATAAAGGCCAGGAGGAGGCCGGCATTTCCCACATGGAGGGTCTTCAGGCAGAGAAAGAGTCCCCTGCAATTTCCCAGGCATCTAGACGGGGCAGAGGTCACGGGGTCAGTGGGACATGCGGACATTGATGTCTGCTGGACCCGAGACAAGATAGGACGGGGGTGTTGAAGGGGTTTCTCGGTTCAGAGTCTCTGGGCCCGCATCACACCCCGACTCCTGCCCTGGCTTGGCTGTCCATGCCGTGTGTGTGTGTGTGTGTGTGTGTGTGTTTTATTTATTTTTTGTCCATGCCCTTTGTCATCTCTGCTACATCCACCTTGAATTCAGAGCGCTGATGGTTCTCCACTAATGTCTGATACGAGTGTGCTTTCGTTCAGGTCTCTGTGATCAGAAAGATGCCTAAAGAACGGACGAGAAGGCCAGTCTCCAAGGAGGCCCCTCCTCAGCTGAGGAGCTAAGTAGGCCTGTCTGAATGGAGCCCCGAGGGACAGCATGTGTGTTGCTCTCTTGAACCTGGCCTCGAGCTGGCCATGAACTCTGGGTTGAGTGTGAAGAGCTGAAGGGCTGGGGGGATGCTTCCCCCAGGCTGTCGCTGTCACACAGGCCTTTCCTCTCCCCGCTCAGCCCGATCCTCTGGGGGCCCTGGCCCGCCTCACTTCCTGCGCTGGTTGTCTGGTGGCTTCCTTCCCACTCCCGAAGGCTGAGCATCTCATGAGTCACAGGCTCGTGTTGGTCACTCAGTGGAGTTGCCTTCACTGTTTATTTCCAAGAAGTCGTGCTTAGGGGCCCCGGGGCTCAGTCACCCACCACCCCAACCTGGGCTTCTGAGGTTCTGACACGCCTTAGTTGCGAGTTAAGAGGAGACCAGGAGGGGGCATAGGGATCCTTCAGAAGCCTCACCCCAGGTTCTTGTTTTCCCACCTCAGTCTTTGCTGGCTTCCTGCCCTGAGTGCTCTGAGTCCCACTGACTGGCCAAGAGGTGGGATAAGAGGCAGGAGTTCATGTGGGCTTGAAGCCAGTCATACTTGGGTCAGGGGGGGTGTCCCGGCGACCACCTCTAGACCCAAATTTCCTGGGGGTAAGGATTTCCTTCAACCTCCATTTTAAAATTTGTTTTTGTTTTGGGGTCACCTAGCTATACTCTGTACTCCTGGCTCTGTGCTCAGGGATCACTCCTGGTGGCTCAGGAGACCAAATGGGGTCCCAGTCAGCATGTGCAAGGTCAAGTCTCAACTGCTGTGCTATCGCTCTGGCCCCTCCTTCATCCTGCTTCACCTTTAATGTCACTTCCTCTCCCAGAAGTTCTCTCAGATCTGCGCTGGGCCCTGGGCTCTGATTCCCCTGAAGGCTGGAGTGTCCAGGACCAACATGACAGCCCCCTCTGGTGGAAAGGGTGTCTTCCCTCCGCCCCTTAGTTTAGTGAGTGGATTTTTCTCATACAGAAGTTCCAGGCTGTTTTCAAGACACCTCAGTGCTGAGTCCCAGTTGCTCACGGGGCCTGGCCCAGGCTCCAGACACCCGCCTCTGGCTGTGGTTCTGCGGATGTGGATGTGCTTATGTCTGTGTTCCTCAGGGACACGTTTGCTGGCGGGAACATGGCACAGTCACACTTCATGTGATTTATTTCCCGTCAGTCCCTGGGGCTGACCCATCCGTGAATAACTGCTGGGTGAATGAATGACAGTGCACCTGAGAGAATGAGGGGAAGGAGTGTGTGTGGGAGCATACACTTCGGGTGTGTTTACCAGGAGGGTGGAAGATGGTGAAGGTGATGGAGAAGGAAGAGGAGGTCAGATCTGTTTTTCAGCTGTTTGTTTTGTTCTCTTGACTGATGTTGAATCAAGCTGTCATTTCATTTCATCAAAAGTTTATTGAGCACCCAGGATGCACTAGGCACTCCGCCGGATGCCAGTACCACAAAGATGAAGAGCAACACGAAAACCAACCCCACCAAAATCCACTTCCGTTCTGGCCCCCGAGGGTGAAGGCAGATTTGGCGTAAGCCTGGAAGCCGCCCTGCAGGTGGGGGGTCAGGCCCAGGGGCTGGAGCGTGGCCTGCTCCCCTCTCACTCCAGGCTGACCCCAAGTTCCCCACTTTCTCTATATGCCCAGTCTGCCTTCTGAAGGCCCTGGGGAAGGCTAATCAGGGATCTACTCCAGGGAGAATGAGAAGTGCCCCAGGACAGTCAGGGTGGGGTGGGTGGGGGACACACTGGGACAGGGAGAGGCAGCTAGAAACGTGGGTGTCAGGGGCTGCCAAGGTACTGACTCCAGCAGGCAGGCTGTGGGGAATAGCTCTGTGGAGTGGAGGTGGGCGGGGGCTGTCAGAGCTGGGGCTCAGGAGGTGGGGGTGAGGCCAGGGATGCCCGGACCCCAGGAAACATCAGGGACTAGAGCAGACTCCACCCAGGGTCTCCTCTTGCAGCTTTGGGGTGACCCCTGTCGTCAGCCTCCCAGCCTTTGATGTGTGTGATTATAGGACCGCAAGCCCACAGACCCCTGGAGCCTGAGCATTGGGAAGCAGGGCCGGTGGAGGGGGCTACAGGGGGAGGCTGGATGTGTCCTCCAGACATGCTGGGAGGGGGGAAGCTCCGCTGGGGTTCCCGGGATCAGTGATTGTTTGAAAGCCTCGGCAAGTCAGCTAGGAAAAGGCAGTGGTGTGTGTGTGTGTGTGTGTGTGTGTGTGTGTGTGTGTGTGTGTGTGAGAGAGAGAGAGAGAGAGAGAGAGAGAGAGAGAGAGAGAGAGAGAGAGTGCATCAGCATGTCCCTCCTAGGGTCTTGCTTGGGGGGGGCGTTGGTGGAGGCTCCCCATGTCTAGGACCAGAGTTCAATCAATTTAGAAATGAGGTTGCAGTGGGTGGAGTGGGTGAGGGCAGGCTGCCAAGAACGCGCCCGTTAGTTGTTGGGGGACTGGGCAAGGGTGGCAGGGAGGTGGGGGGCAGCATGAGCTCCCGGCAGGCCGCAGGGGCATCATGGGGAGTTAGGTTACTCATGTTAGTTTCCCACGCCCTGGGGGGCTGGGGCTGGAGCTGGGGAAGTGACCGGTCATCTAGCTGGTCCTAAGAGGGCGCCACCCAGACCCCTGAGAAACCCAGGGAGTGGGCCCCAGCACACCCGGGTCGGGCTCCCACCAGAAGCTCCCCCCGGGGCCGCCGGGTCCCCCTGGAGTGCCAGCCCCGCGGCCCCCACACTCCTCCCCCGGGGCCTCGTTGCTACGGCCGGCCGTGGCCGCCGCTGCTGCGGGCCGAGGGCGGGTCCGGGGCGGCTCAGGCGCTGATCTCCACGGCGCCGCCCTCGTCTTGCTCGCGGATCAGGTGCACGCCCGCAGTCCGCAGTGCCCGCGAGCGGCCGGGCGAGCTGGGTGTGCGGGGCGGCGACGTGTGCGTCCGGCCGGCGGCGGGAGAGCGCGCGGGCGAGCGCGGGTAGCGGCGGGCCGAGCGCATGGGCAGGGCGGGCGAGCGGCCGGGGACAGCAGCGGACACCGAGTAGCCCGGCGGCCCGGACTCCGGGGCGCGGGGCTCCGGGGAGGCGCTGTCCTCCAGCTCCGCGGTGTCCTGCAAGGACACGGGCCACCGGGTTCATGGTCACCGCCCGGCTGGGGCACGTGGAAGAGTGGGGTGACTCCCCCGACTCCCCTAACGAGGGTCCTGTCCAAATTGAGGGATCCCAGGGAGGGATGTAGAGACACTCAGTGCTTGGGGCTAGCACCTCCAGGAGTGACCCCAGAGCTGAGCAGGAAGTAGCATCCCAGTTCCTTGGGGTGCACCCTGCCCCCAATAAATAGATGAGTAAATAGTTTGCTTTTGGTGTGTCAGCCCCTCCCTGCCAGTCTGCTCCTCTCCAGAGGGGCTGACAGATATTTCTCTGGGGTGTTGAGCACCATGAAGGGAGAGGTCAGTATGGGTCACTCGCAGGGGCAAGCTTCTGTGTGTGTAGGGGTTCCCGGGTGACTCACCTTATCCTTCAGGATGTACAGAGCCAGGGGGTTCTTCCGCTCCTGCTCGGTGCTTCGGGGCAGGCTGTCTGCTGCACAGGGAAAGAGAGGCAGCGGCTGGCCCAGGGCCACAGCTGTCCCACCAGCACCCGAGACCTCGCTGCCTGAGTCAGGTCCCCACCATGACCCCTGCCAAAGGCCGGGGGCTCCCGGGAATCCTACCTTGACCGCACCTCTCTCTGCTCTGCAGTCTGCGGGCAGTTGGTGGCGGAAGAGGCCCAGCCGAGCTGGTGTCCTTGTTGCCCAAGTCTGCCTTCTCCCAGCAACCCACGGGTCTGAGTGGCGTCGGGACTGGCGAGTGGGCAGCTGGCAGCTCACCTTCCACCTTCAGGCGCTCATCGTTTTGGTCCATGTACTCCAGGGAGCTTTGCTGCTCCAGCTTCCTCTTCTTCCTGCAAAGTCCACCAGCCCCGTGAACAGCCTGGACAGGTGACACCAGGGGGTCTGGGCATGGGGACACAGGATCGGATGATGATCTGGGGTTGCAGGAAGGCAAGCAGGGATGGGAGAAGGCCAGGAGTATGGGGACAGGTTTCATTTCGGCATGCACTGGGATCCGTCTGCATCTCAGGTCGCAAACTATAGAATGTCGTACTTAAGTGGCAAGCTGAGCCTGGAACGGTTAATAACTGCTCGCTGGGAAGTCGATACAGAAAGTGGGGCCCCGCATGCCAGGCACAGAGCGCCAGGGCAGACGGGAGGATAGAAGGCGAAGGAGGCTGAACTGGGGCAAAGGATGTGGAACCAGAGAGTCACCTAGACTTTTTGGAGGGTTTCCAGCAGGCACAGACTGTCACCAAGGTCACCAGGAGGAAAATGCCGCCGGTGGACAGGATAATGTAGAGGGAACTTCTTCCTGGGGACAGGGAGGGAGATGGGTGAGTTCAAAGGAGGACCAGGCATGTGAAGGAGTTTTCTGCAAAGGCAGGGCGAGAAACGGGGTCCCAGGCAGCAGGGCCTCCATTCTGGAGCTTCCCCATGGGCTTGACTCACGGTACACAGTGATCTTAACAGGCAGGCTGCGGCCCTCGCTGATGGGGTTCTCCACCACACAGCTGTACAGGTCATCGTCGTCCATGAGCACGCGCGTGATGGTGAGCACCTTCTGGTCGGGGGACAGGAGCATCCTTGAGTCATTGAGGAGGGGCTTGCCGTCCTTCAGCCAGGTGTAGCTGGGTTTGGTGCCGTTCTCGTGCGAGCAGTTCAGGGTGAAGGCCTCGCTGAGCTCCAGCACCGTGGTCGAAGCCACTACCACCTGCGGCCTGGAAATGGGCACTGAGTGCCAGAGTGGGGAGCCTGTGAGGGCTGAGCCCAGAGTGTCCCCCTGCCCCTGCTCAGGGCCTGCTCTCATCAATCATCCCGTCAGGAGAAGGCCCTTTAGGGCTCAGCAGCCCAGTGCTTTCCTGCCTTCCATCCGTCCATCCACCCATCCAAGAACCAACCCTTCCTTCCTTCCTTCATTCCTTCCTTCCTCTCATTCATTTACCAGCTATTTATTGAGCAAGTAGTTAGCAGAGAGGCACAATGCTGAACTAGACAGTCATGATCCCTATCCTCAGGGGACCCGCCTTTGCCCCCTTTCCTTCTTCTGAAATACCTCCCTGGGATGTCTAGGACAGACCCAGCCAGGAATGCAGTTTGGCCAGGCGAAGCCTAGAGCCAATGATCTGGGTTCGAATACCAGTTTCCTCTAACTGGTTGACCTCAGAAATTTACTTGGCTTCCTGGGACCTCAGTCTCCTTGTCTGAAAATGATGCCTGGGGTAGGAATGACCCCTTGAGCCTCGTGATCATTAAAGGAGTTGACATGTGCCAGAGCGGACCGAGTGCGGAAAGGTCTGACCATGTCTGCCCAGCCCATTCCGGCAGCACCGTTACCGTCCACTGTGAGGTTGATGGTCTTCTCGCCAGTGAAGGTGTCATCGGTGATGGAGATCTCCACCTCATAGGTGCCCTCGTCAGCCAGCTGCAGGTCGCTGAGCAGCAGGGAGCCGTTGTCGAAGAGGCGGATGCGGTCCCGGTAGTCGGGCCGCAGGGTGCCGATGACCTCCGTGCCGATGGACTGCACCACGGTCACTGGCTTGTCGCGCTTCAGCTGCCACTTCACCACGGGCTTGTCACTGCTGGTGCTGCTATAGTGCACGGAGAGCAGGGCCGATCTCCCCACCGTGCCATGGATCAGGCGCACCGGGCTGGTGATGTTCACACCCTCCAGCGGCTCTGTGGAGGGGCCGGAGGGCACGGCGGGTGTCAGGCTCCAGTCTGGGGAACTCTGTCCTCTCGGCACTTCTGTCCCTCTCCCACCTGCCCCCTCGTACCTTGGCCCCTCTCCTGCCCGGCCCTTGTCTCCATCACCTGCCTGTGGACTGAGCATCCAACAGCTCCCTCACTCTCAGGGTCTTACTGACCAACTACCAATCACCTCAGCCCATGGAACCAGAACTGCTGCATGTTTTTGGTTCCTTGGGATGTGTGCATACAGAGAAATACCCTGACACCCCCTACTCTTCCCCCCGCAGTAGACAGCAGGGTGAATTTTCCAGGTGTGTATGTTTGTTTGTTTTCTTTTTTTGGCAGGGGTATATACTCTTGATTCTGTGCTCAGGGATCTCTTACTGGCAGTGCTCAGGGGACCATATGGGATGCCGGGGAGTGAACCTCCTATTGGCTGCATGCAAGGCAAACACCCTCCCTGCTGAACTGTTGCTCTGGTCCCAGTCAGGTGTTCTGGACTGTGGCTGGGGTGCATGTGGGCGAGGGGTGGAGAAACGTGGGAACAGAGGCAGAAAGAAGGGCGTGTGTCCAGGGCAGATCCGGGCTGTGGAAGCTTAGGGATCCATGGGCAGCTGGACCCCTTTCCATCCCAGGGGCCTCCCCATCCTTCTCCTGCCCAGTGCAAAAGGTCCTGTAAGATGGTCCTGGAAGCACCCCTGAACTAGATGGGCGAGCAGAGTTGGATCAGCCTTCTAGGGAAGCTCCCCCTCACTAACTGGCGGTGTGGACTTGTCCACATCCTCGTGTGAGCCGTAGTTTCCTCACCGAGGAGACAGGCCATGAGCAGCGAGAAGAGCAAACGCTGTGGTGCCAGACACAAGAGCCCCGCGAGCATGGGGGTTCGCAAATCCAATGACCATGAGCACCGGCATTCAGGGGGCTCATTTCCTCCTCCAGGGAGGCTGGACAGCTACACCCCAGCTCCTAAGGGGAAATAGTAGCGTCCTCTGTCCTCCCACACTCCGATGTCCACTACCCCATGTCTACTCCCTCCCACCCCATAGGAGGTCCCAGGAGGCCTTTGTATGATGTCTTTCCCCTCCAATTTGCTCCTTCTGTCCCTTTAAAGATGACCCTTTCGAGAGAGCCACAGAGACGCTGCCACTCCTGGTGGGCACGGGCAAGCTTGTTCTCTTCCGGACGGAGCCCTTGTGCTTGTGAAGGTGAGTGTGACTGGGGGTCGCCGAGATGTGTGTGCATGTGTGAATGGACAGTCTTTCTCAGAGAGTGACGAAGAGGACATGTTGCTGGGCAAACGCTGTCTCCCAAAATGCCAGCCCAAACTTGAGCTGGTGTTAGGTTCGGTGATGCTTCCCCAAGGGACATGGAGGCCTGGGATGGGGGCCAGGGCAGGACACAGGGGCAAGGGAATGGCTGACAGTTCCCATCCACGGTGGAAATAAAAGGCTCGAACCATTCAACCTTGAGTCCCTCTGCCATCCTTCCTCGACTCTGAGGCATCGTTGTGCCCCCAGCGGAGGCAAACCAAAGGACACTGCTCCGACAGCAAGCTGACCCTGTCAACCTCATGTGGGGTCAGGGGGACAGCTTCTGGGCAAGTAGGATTTTTCAGTAGGGCCCACCAGGCCGTCCCAGTGTTGGTGGGGTCAATGTGATGCAGGGGTCATGCTGGGCCTAACCTCAGGCCCCTTAGGTCATCTCCCTGGTCCTCACAGAGACTTCTGTCCAGCTTGGGATGTCCAGCCTTCAAGTAGAGGGTGATTTCTGGGAGTTGGAGCATTTGCCCAGCAACATATCCTCTTTGTCACTCTCTGAAAAAGACTGTCCATTCACACATGCACACACATCCCGGCAACCCCCAGTCACACTCACCTTCATGGGCACACTGTATGCAGTGGGCTGGTCTTGCATGCAGCCAACCTGGGTTTGATCCTTGGCATCCCATATAGTCCCCAGAGCTCCACCAGGAGTGATTACTGAATGCAAAGCCAGCAGTAACCCCTGAGAAATGCCAGGTGTGGCCCCACAACAACAACAATACAATAATAATAAAGCATAGGTGGGGTCCTGCCGATGGCCCTGCCCTTCCTGGAGTCTCTCCAGAAATGCACCCTCTTGTTTTCTGGCTCCTTACGGAGAATGTTGACCAGTGTTTGCCTTAAAGTTTCCTTTTGGGGCTGGAGAGATAGCACAGTGGGTAGGGCGTTTGCCTTGCACGCGGCCGACCCGGGTTCGATTCCCAGAATCCCATGTGGTCCCCTGAGCACCGCCAGGAGTAACTCCTGAGTGCAGAGCCAGGAGTAACCCCTGTGCATTGCCGGGTGTGACCCAAAAAAGCAAAAACAAAAAATAAACAAAAAACAAAAAAGTTTCCTTTCAAAGGTGTCTGATGTGGTGTTCGGTGAGTTCCCTAGATTTCGGGTCCACTGTCCCTCCTCCCTGCCACCAGAACTGCTGTCCTGTCTGTCCTTCCTGGCGGCAAGCCCATCTGTCCCGTGGGTACTGCCCACAGAGGAAGCCCCTGTCCGGGCTCTCTCCAACTCTCAGTTTCCTTTTTGAGGTGTGGCCGCCAGAAGCGCCTGGCACTCAGGCCAGGGATGTGAGCACGCGATCTGGCATTCTGCCTTGGTTCAAAGCCCCCTTCCTCCTGCGACTAGTGAGACTCGGAACCCTCCCCCGCCCAGTTCTGTACATGGGACAGCTGGGACTGTCCGCACACTTAGCGGGCCCTACCAGGACCTCCAGGGTGGTGACATCATCTTAAGTATAATCCCACAGGAATGTCAGAGAAAAGCAGGAAACTGAAGTTGTGAAGAAGCCCTGGGAATCCAGGAAGGGGGTGTGGCGGCAGCTTTTTTTTCTTTATAAATGTGTAAGAGGGTTGCCGTGGGGTCCTGCACGCAAGGCTCTGTCTGAGTCGGTTTTACTGGTGCACTCCGCCATGGAGATGGGGCCATTGTTAATTCGCAGTTCTCCCAAGCTGACTTATAAATATAACACAATATGACTCAGAGCCCGACCAGACTTCTCTGTGCTGTTGGCCCAGGATACAGAGTCCAAAACCAGATTCCTGTGACTTCCCCACCAGTGCCACGCTGACACCCTTCCATCAGAGTGGAGGATTTCTCTTCAAGTAATGTGCTGGTCAGTGGAAGAAAATAGTGAATTTGGAGGATAAGTACAGAGGGCAGGTACAAGTGCCTTGAATGCAACTGACCTGGATTGATCCCCAGCACCCTAGATGATCCCTGAGTCCTGCCAGGAATGATACCTGAGCACAGAACCAGGAGTAAGCCCTGAGCACCACCATATGTGGCCCCCCAAAAAAGGAATTAGTGAATTTTACCCTTGCCTCACACTTTACATAAATACCAATTCTAGGTAGATTATAGATCTAAAGATGAATGTTAAAACAAAAACGTTTAGGGAACCTGAGAGATAGGACAGCGGGTAAAGTGCTTGCCCTGTACACAGCCCACCCAGATTCAACCCCCAGAACCCCGTATGTTCCACTGAGTGCTGCCAGGAGTGATCCCTGAGTGCAGAGCTGGGAGTAACCCCTGCTACATGTGGCCAAAAAAAATCTAAACAGAAAGCAAGCAAAACAATAACCTTTAAACAACAAAATGTAAGGGGATGATTCCATTACATATCCATTGTGAGGGCAAATGAAATTTCTAGGATAACAGAGTGCTGGGTGTAAGAGAAAATAGCATGTCAACACAATTAAGTGAGTACTTCTGTTCATGGGGAGACACCCTCAGAGAGGCAGAAAGGTGGGAGATAGCCCAGTGGGAGGCACAAGCCAAGCCCGTGTGCACGTGTCCGCATTCAATTAATCGGGTACCTTGTGGTCCCTAAACATCACTGGCCTGCCACGCTAGCCAGGCTCTGCCTGGAGTCCCCCTGACCCCTCACTTAATGCCTTATCCACTGTACTATCACTCCAGCCCCTAGCACTGCTGGGTGGAGACCCTATTAGCAATGAGAAGGGAACTGGAGAAATGGGTCAGTGCACTGGGTGTACTCTGCATGCAGGAGACCACCTGGTCCCACAGATCTCCAGGAGTCACTCCCAGCACTGTGAGCATAGGACCAAACAAATCGAACAAAACACAGAGAGAAAGATACTGTAAATAAGAGAGACATGGGGCTGGAGTAATAGTACAGTGGATAAGGCATTTGCCTTGCACACACTAACCCAGGTTCAATTCCTGGCATCCCACATGGTCTCCCAAACTCAATAGAACACCAGGAGTGATCTCTGAGCAGAGAACCTGGAGTAAGTCCTGAGCACCACCAGGTGTGCCCCCTGCCCCAGAGAGAAAGAGAGACAGAGACAGATAGAGAGGAGAGAGAGGGAGAGAGAGGAGAGAGAGAGAGGAGAAAGGAGAGAAAGTGTGTGTGATATTCAGAGAAGCCACTTAGAATTTTAGGTCGCAGCACATTACCTGAGACTCAGTCAGAAGAAATAATAGACAAACTCTATACTTCAATACACAAAATTGAGGCTCTATATTTACAGAATTCATAACCAATACTTGCTAAATGTGCTCAGACCCCAAAAGTCATTAAGTTTAAGCTGAACCTGAAGATTTTACACTTTACTTAATCTTTGCATTTTCTGCTTCCAACAATGTTTGATTTGTTTTGTTTGAAAGGTCACAATATTTCACATTAGTGATTTTTAAAACTCCTCCATTTGGTAATTCTCTACTTCAAGCAGGTATAAGGAAGCATTTACTTGGTAGCCTCAGTTTCTTCAAGAATCATATTTGTTCCCAGGACACCCTACTCGTGGTTCTAGGCCAACTGGCCTGAGGCTGTGCTCAGTCCTTCATGCTGGAATTTCTGAGTCATTCTGCTATGCTCGAGGGTCTCCAGGAAGCACCTCATGAGGCTTGGGGTACTCTAACCCCTAGACTACCAGGCCCCCAGAGGGCTTCCATGTGTCCGTTTGCACATTGCTGATAAGACTGGATGATACATTGTTTCAGAAAGACTTTCATTGACTAATACCTGCTGTTTCTCTTACATTCAACACTTTTAATGTTTTTATGTTTGAAACAGTTTTAATGTTTATGGAGCTATTTACAGCTGTTAACCAAGACTTTTTTTGTTTGTTTGTTTGTTTGTTTGGGGGGGTCATACACACTGTGCCCAGAGCTTACTCTTGTTTCTGTGCTCAGAGATCACTCCACATGGGCTAGGGGACCCTATGTGGTGTTGGGGAATCGAAACTGGCTTGGCTGTGTGCAAGGTAAGTGCTCTACCCACCATTTTCTCTCTTGCTTTAACCATGACATTAAAACAAAAAAAGGTGGTGAGTGTGTGTGTGTGTGTGTGTGTGTGTGTGTGTGTGTGTGTGTAGCTCCAGGTAACCCTGGCCCAGGCTGGTGGGGCTCTACTGGCTTGATCCTTGGGTAAAGCCCTGAATGGGAGGGTCTAGGACCTCAGTAGATCTGGGACTGCTTTAGAGTAGAGCAGTTTAGATCTACGACGGTCAGTGCCAGAACAATAACTTTTGGAATTTGTTTGTCACACAAGCTGGCATTTCCAAACTAATATACTAGGGATGGCAGAAATTCCTCCTAGAATCTCAGCTCTTTATTTCTCTAAGTTCACAGAGGTCAAACCTAGGTCATGACCAATCACTTATGAACGTTGCTTCTAGGTAGAATTAGTTTTTGCTCGATGTATTAAGTCACGTTTCTGTCCACAGAAGCGGCTTTGCCATCTTTTGATTTATGCCTGACCACTGGACTGAGGAGCTTATCCTGGGGTCGATTTCCTTACCATCTGATGGCCCAAAAGAATGCGGGATGGCTTGGAATAGTCTATGGCATGTCCACATTCTCTTCCCAGTTCTCCGTCCGCATACTTTTCACTCCTGATTTCCTCAGCTTGTCATTCCCCACTGTTGACACCCTATTGACACTGGACTTGGCTGCATCTGATATTTTCTCTGGGAAACTCCTACCTCCCTTTGACTTCCTGGTACCCTGCCTCTGGTCCTGTCTGTTATGGGTTTCCTCAGTGGGTCGTCCCCTCTATGCTTCCTTATAAATCTTGGGGTTCTCTGATGTTCCAGGTCAGCCCATTATTTCCCTTCCCGCTTGGTGTTGTCTGTCCTCACAGAAGTCTCATGTGGGACCACAAGCTTCCGCTTGTCCCTCCACAACCCCGACCACCATCCTTCAACTGCGGGGTGCTGAACAATGCCCCCGCTGATGTTTCTCAGACATGTCAACCATGGCATTCCTCACTCCAGAAACCTCCCTCTCCAGCTTGCTGACTTTCCTCCCAGATATACTGTCCATGTGCCTCATTCCCTTGCTCTTTATTCTACTCCCAGCCCTTGTTCTTTTTCTTCTTTTTTCTTTTTGCTTTTGGGCTACATCCGGCAATGCTCAAGATTTACTCCTGGCTCTGTGCTCAGGGATCACTCCTGGTAGGGCTCAGGGGACCAGATAGGGTGCTGGGGCTCAACCCCCAGTGGGCCGTGTACAAGGCCAATTCCCTCCCCGCTGGACTATCACTTCGGACCCTGATTCCTATTCTTTCCCTCCTGGCTATGGCAATAGCCCAGTTAGGGGCATCTGGCACTCCTCCCAGCCCAGACCCTTGGTCTGTCAGACCTTGTTAGACAATGAGGTCATTGAAGATGTGCTAAGTTGAGGTCAGCTAGACTTGTACGGGTGCCTCATCCAGCATGGCCAGCAGCCTTACTGAAAGGGGAATTTAGACACAGACGCACACATGGGAGGACAGCATGTGAGCACTGAAGTCATGCTGCTGGGAGCCAAGGGTGCACCCAAGCTGCAGAGAGGCCCTGAACGAAGTCTCCCAGAGCCTCCACAGGCATCACGAACCTTGCCAACGCCTTGACCCCAACTTTCAGCTTGCAGAAAAAAGTTAATAGTTAATAGTTAATAGTAAATAGTTCTTTTCATTGGTTTGTTTGAGGGCCATACCTGGCTGCGCTTGGGGCTTACTCCTGGCTCTGTGCTCAGGCATCACTCCTGGCAGTGCTCAGTGGACCATATGCGAAACCATATGGAATACCAGGGAACGAACCCAGGTGGGCCGTGTGGAAGGCAAATGTCCTACCTGCTGTCCTTTCCTTCCCCCTTCCTCCCCAAATAGCTCATAAGTCAGTCACCCAGTCTGTGGGTCTTTGGTACAGCAGACCCAGAAAAGCGCACCGGGTTCCCTTCCTTAGCTGCGTTCCCTCCGCTTCTGGTGTCTTGCATAGTGAGCAATCTGACCTACAGCCTGGTCCTGCTGTCCCCCGGCGCCTCCCATGTGGGCAGGTTCTCTTCCAGGTCTCCCAGTGTGCTTCCCAAGGTTCTCACCTCGCTGTTTTCACACGCTCCCTCCAGCAGCGAACTGCTGGGCTTTCGAAGAATCAGTCACTACACACTGTCAGCACTCTGTCCATTCCGTCCCTATTGTCCTCATCCTTATCCTTTAGGATTTAGTGCGGACGTTTCCAGAAAACCCCTAATACTCCCAACTGGCATCTCCTGCTCCCTGGCTGTCTCTGTCTCAATGTATTTAATCATCAGATCAGTTCCCAAGGCTTGGTAGGGGTAGGCAGTAGGCAGTAGGTGTGTTTGGGGTGAAGGATGGGTCGGTTAGTATTATTATCCCAAACCAGGAGGCTTACTATCACCAAAGTTTCTTTCTCTCCTTTGTTGATCTACTCTCAGAGAAGCCAGGCTGGGGGCAGGGGAGGCACAAAACCAAGATTGCTCCCACCTCTCCCAGCCCCACCGTAATCCCTTGGAAAGAATGCTGAATTGGCCCACGCCAGCAAAACGTCCCATAAGAAATGGCTCATTCCTCTCCTCTAATGTACTGAATGTCGTGGGAGCTCCAGAGTCATGCAGGCTTTTGGGGGAGGGGGCAGTGGCCAGCAGGAGGCCCACAGAATGAAGAAATACATTCAACACTAATGCCTGAATTCAGAGATGCTTCCCACGGCCGCGAGCGCTCTCCCCTCCTCCCGCCCCCAAAGACATTCTGGCCCTGAGCTCTCCCCTCCCTCCTCTCTGGAAGCCTGAGGGTCCTTTTCCAGACCCTCTCTGGGCCCCTGGGTCTCCTACCTGTCTGGATGAGAAGAAGGTACACAAAAGGAGCGAGGCGCAGGACAATGAAGGCTCCGCACGGGGCTCCCCTTTCTCTCTTCATTTTGGGTGGCGTTCTCCAGCTCTGGTGCAGACAATTAGCATGATTTCTCCACTCTGGGCACGTCCCTTTGTACCACTCAGAGTTTCTCTGCCCGAACACAGCCCTGCCAACTTCCCTCTGAATACACAGAGCCCTGTGTGTTGCTGGACTGGCTCTTTCTTCTCTTTCAGACCTGGCATTTTCGCGTTTCAAAGCCCCACATCCCCAGTTCAGAAGGGGGAATCTGCTTAGAAGATCATCTCCAGTGTGGTTCCAGTCCGAGGGGGCCTGGCAACTCGTTGTTGGCCTCCACTAACCCCCACTAGCAGGGGACGTGAAGGTCTGTGCTCAAGGAGGGGACAGGCTAGGACACCCACGAGCCCCAACCTTGTGTCCTAATCTCTCCTGTTTCCCCTCCTTGTCCCTGCACTCCTTGTCCCCGTGCCAGCAGTTGCTCTCCAGTGAGCTCAGGCAGGGAGGGAGAAGGGCTGGGGTGCAGCTCAACGGTACAGCACTGGTCTTGCTGACGTGAGGCTCTGGGTTTGATCCCCAGTACACACACCCCCATCCCCAAATAAATACAATTAAAGGCCCCCAAAGGCATTCTGGCCCTGGGAGCTACCAGAGGGTTGGGGGAGAAAGGCAGGCCCTTATATACACGAAACCTTTCAGTATCTGTATTGCAAACCATAATGCCCAAAGGGGGATATGGGGAGAGAGAGAGAGAGAGAGAGAGAGGGAGAGAGAGAGAGAGAGAAGTGCATGGGGGTGAGGTGAGGTGATGGGAGGAAATTGGGGACACTGGTGCTGGAAAATATACACTGGTGGGGAGAAATGGGTGTTGGAAAAATGTATGACTGAAACCTAATCATGAACAGCTTTGTAAGGGTCTATCTCACAGTGATTTAATAAAGAAAGAAAGAAAAAGAAACAAAGAAAGAAATGGCTGCCTCCTGCCAATTTTCTACAACTGGGCTTCTTAAACTTTTTACAAACAAGACCCCTGTCCATCTGAAAAAATGGAATTAACTTCAGGTGTATAAAACAGTTATATAAATCAATAACAGATAATAAATCATTTATGCCAAAACAAATTATTGCCACTCCATCCCCAGATTTAGTTATGTAAGCCCCTTGCCCCAGAACAGGGTTATGACTCATAGTTTGGGAAAGTAGGCTTGAGACCTAGTCAGAGCAAGGTCTGATGGTGAGCTCTGTGACAGGGTGAAGCACCCTCACCACACTTATGTTTCTGCACTCCACCTGCGACCGCATGCCCGGTTTCTCTCAGGGCTGCTGGCAATGCACCTTACTGTCTCATCTTAAGATAGGCTCACCAACTATCTGGCTCCACAATCTGCTGAATGGGAGAGCAATGACTCCCCACAGGCGTATTGGTTTGGAAGATGTGAAGTGATGCAAAAGGGCCACCTTGGAGCTAATGAGGATGACACCCCAGTCAAAGGGCAAAGGAGCGGGGACATTTACCCACTAACCGCCATCAGGGAAGGCTAAGCTGTTTCTCAGGAGTTTGGGGACTTAGCAGCCTACCATGGGCATCTGTGCCTTGTGGAGATCGCTGACAAGCACTCCGAATCCATTTGCTCATTTAACTCTCTGAATCCCCCACTCTAGGCAGAAATGATAGTGCTATTTTACAAACAAGAAAACCTACAATCCCGAGAAGATAAGAAGCAGTTAGGGTCACTGAGCTGCAAAGTGGCAGGGCGTTGACGAGAAACAGAGGGTGATCACCCTCAGTGCTCAGTGAGAGTGATCGGCCCTCACTGGTAAGTAGGAAGGCTCCAGCCCCCGGGCCTGTCTCCCCTCTCTCCCTCAGCACCTCCTCTCTTTAAGCTCCAGGAGGCTCTTGTTCCCATTGCTCATGCCCCTTTACCACTGAAGTTATTTTTGGTCCTTTACTTCCTAAGGCTACTTGTGACTGCTTGCCAAAGTTGGCCCTACCCTTCATTCCACTTGCCAGGGCAGAGCCAGGACTCCGGAGGCTGCCACCGGCCAGGGAGCCACAGAGCATTGCCAGGGAAACCAGGAATTTGTATGAGGCTTTGTGCTGAGAGGCGGCAGGGCCGAGCTGCTCCAGCAACCACGGGACTAGAGACAGGCTAGCTAGCTCCCTGAAACAAACAAGCTCTGTGTGGGCCTGGGCTGAGGAATGGCCCTCCCCAAGGACATTTTCCCCCTCCCCTTTCTTTGTGAAGTTCTCCCGAGTAGTCCTACTGTGGCTTACGCCTGAGAAACATCCCTGAGAAGGTGGGTGTGGACCATGGCCTCCCACGCTTCCCCTGGGCTGTCCTGGACGTTGGCAGGTTCTGTGGTGTGAGGGGTCCGTCTCTCAGAGAAGCCTCCCACAGCGGTAAGGAGTCTTCCCAAAGCATGAGTCTGGTTGGGAGGAGTGTGTGATCTGGGGGTTCTGGTACATTTTGGTAAGGGGGAGAGTGTTCCCGTTTTCATTCTGGAAGATGGAAAAAACATCCGAGCCTTTTATGCTGCAAGTAAATATTTGGTTTCTGAACAGAATTCCTGCCCCCCTGAGGAACTGAGCGGAACTCAGGCGCGTGTCCATGGTTGCCGAACGTGCCCTATTCAGCCCCTCTCCAGAAGGACAAAGGAGAGAGATTAATTGGCACCAAAGTGTTGGAAAGAACCAGCATGTGCTGACCTATTTAAGATGGATCGAGGACATTCTAGAGAGAGTCTCTAGAGCTCAGTTCTTGTAAAGCTTCAGTGCTGAAGTCAAAACAGGATGAAGGATCCCGGGGGCCACCCTCGACATGTAAGAGTCTTGTTTTTTCTTCTCCTAGGTGCTCAGATGCTGTTCTCTAAGCATCAGCCACATTTGCTAGCCTGTAAACTAACTCGAGGTGGTTCCAGCTGGGTTCTTTCAGGAACAGACTGAAAAGTTTCCCTAGGAATCTTAGGTGACCCCTGGGTTTCCTGATTTGCTACAGGGCATCAGCCTCTACTGGGCTGGCGAGTAGGGATCGAAGTGCAAACAAACTCAGGGATCCTCTAACAATCACTTCTGTGTGCAGTGGAATGCTGCCAGGGACCCAATGGTGGCCGAGAATCCCTTGGCCACAGAGAGGGATTCTCCAGCTCTGATGCAGAGAGCTCTGGAGAGAGACCTCAAGATTCCGGGGCCAGCAACACTCATTCTAAGCTTCTGAAGAAGGTGGTTATTTCTAAGCCAATAGGACCCTTGCTAAGAAAGGAACCTTGGGCCATACAGAAGACAGGCCATCATGGAAACGTGTAAAGGGGGAGCAGGCTTGAGATGTGAGCATCGGGTATAGGGAAAGTGGACTCACAGACAACCACTGGCACTGCTGTTAGTGGAGGCCTGGAGGTAGAAGGTAGAGGCAACGAGCTACCTACTAACACTTCTTCCCAGCTCCATGCACCCCCCCACCCTGTTGTGCAAATCAACCTTCCTCTCACCCTCTTAAGTGAGTTTTCTATTCCTTTCCTGGCTGTGAGGAGTTGGAGGATTGCTTTCTTGCTACCTTTCTTTCTCAGCCTCACTCCTCGCTCTGAGTCAAATGTTTCTAGTTTTGCCTGCTTTGCCACTTGTACTCCTATGTGTGCACCAACCTCTAGGTCTTTTCCTGGCATTCTGTGTAGTTTTTGCTTCTGGCCCCTCCCAAAGCTATTTTTTTTTAAGTTAAAATTTTTATTTTGTACTGAACATAGTAATAATGCCTAATAATTTTCCTTTTTATACTCTGTGATATAAAACTAAACATTATAGGCCCATGAATATTACAAAATGGCACAAAAAACTACAAATGAATATGACTAATATGACTAGGTCAAAAATCTCAAATTGAGGGTCATCAAGCAGTATGCATCATCACATTAAAATAATAGACTAAGTGGGTTTTAGTATTTTATTTTATTTTGTTTTGGGGCCACACCAGGCATTGTTCAGAAGTGCTCAGATGAGCATCACTCCTGGCAGTGCTCAGGGGACCATATTAGATGCTGCCAAAGCTATTCTTGTTATCCATCCTGGTGATGTCAATAACCTCAGGAATGACCAGCCAATAATTTGACCCCTCATTTTTCTGGCCTCATCTTCTCTAGTGATTTTATCCTTAACCTATCTCAGAATTCCTCCCTTGAGGGTACCAGAGAAGCTGACAGCCCCAGAATCTGCTCTGCCCACATTGTTTAAAGTATCTCACTTTCAGATCACCATCTTCTCTTATCATACATTCCTCCCCCCCATCTTTGTGCCACAACCAGTGATGCTCAGGGGCTTCCTCCCCTGGTTCTGCACTCCCCTGGCAGTGCTCAGGGAAACATATCGGATGCCGTAAATCAAACCCTTGTTGGCCATATACCAGGCAAATGCCCTCCACACTATACTATCACTCTGCCCTGTCTCTATTTTTTGGGTCATACCTGGAGATGCTTACTCCTGACTGTGCTCAAGGATTACTCCTGGTGAGGTTCAGGGACAATATATGATGCTGGGGATTGAATATGGGTCATTATCTTGTAAGGCAGGCATTCTGCCCACTATACAATCTCGCCATCCTCTAAAATTATTTCTTAAGAAACTCTCTCCCCAACCCTTCCTTTGTTGGTGCAATGTCTGGGGCTCACACACCTGGTTGTGAATCTCACAGGCACTTGGTTGTAGAGCATTAGAAACTTGTGGTGCCAGGGATCCCATTGGCAGTGGTGCTGGGATTGTCCTTGTCATGTGGGGCTGTGCTGGGCATCAAACTCATGGCCTCTGCCATTGAGCCACATTCCTGGGCCTTTAAATTCAGTATTTTTTTCTAACAAAACTTAGGGTTCCCACTGGAACCTTCAATCTCTCTGCCTTTTTGCAGTGAATCCAGTGCGTCAGACATGCAGGGTGGGTATTCTACCTGGCCCTACATTCCTGCCCTTTTGGGACCTACAATCTCTTGCAAAGTTCCTTAGCTCCCAGCAGCTCACTTTTCTCATATGACCTGTTTTAAATTCTAGGGCCCGAAGTTTTATTGCTTCCCTGCACTAATATTCAACTCCTTGTCCCTTTCCTGCCGAACGGCATTTTGGCACACGTTCAACCTCGGTTGAAATTCAAATCCTCCCTTTCATGTCCGTTTGTTACCACACCGCTGAAGAAAAGCACTAAACCACACTGGCCAGTCTTCCTTTAAATAACTGCACCCTCATGCGGGTTCCTTGAGGCTGCCTGGCAACTGTCCTGGTCTCTTGTTCACACGTTTCCTCTCCAGGACAGCGATCTCATGCCTTAACCTTCCTTCCTCAAGCTGCAAACATCCTTCCTTCTGTTCCTTGGCGGTCTTTCTTGCTGCTTAACAGATGGCGTCCAATTTCGGCATCTTAGCACGACAATCCCCCCATGCCCGTTTCTGGCTGAGGGGCCTGGCTCAGGGTCTCTCAAGAGATAGCGGATTGTAGGCCAAGGCTGTTGTCTCTGAAAACGTGACTGGAGCGCAGGAGCCCGCTTCAAGTTCCCTCTCAGGGCGTCCGAGTCCGCCCTGTGGCCCCTTTCATAGGGTGGCTCGGGCTTTCCCAGAGCACGTGACGCGGCGAGGGAGAGAAAGGCAGAGCGGGCGCGGGAACAGAGCACACTTTTTGTACGTGGCCTGTTTCACGTCGCTACGTTCTGTGGGCACCAAAGACCAACCGCCCTGCGGTGCGTGAGGGGGCAGCAACCCCGGGTCCGGGAAGCCCCAGAACTCGAGGGCGCCGCGCGAGCGGGCGCCTCGCAGTCCCGCCGAACAGGAAGCGGAAGTGACGCACCCGAGGCCGAAGCCCCGCCCCCACGCCTCCCCGCCGACTGGAGGCGCGGCCAGCCCGGAAGGGGCGGGCCCGGGGCGGGGCGGCGCGGCCCGCCCGAAAGTGGCGGTTTACGGCTAGCGGTTGCCCCGGCGCCTGAGTCGCTGGAGTCCGTCTGTGTCCGGCGCTGGAGCGGCCGGGTGCGTCCCTTCAGGAGCGCGGTCTCGGTGGGGGAGCCCAGAGAGGGGCAGTTAGCGGGCTCGGGCGAGCTCCCCGCCACCCCGCGCCTCAGCGCCTCAGCGCCTCACCCCCGCGCCCCGTCGCCCACCTCAGACGGGCGGTGTCTCTCCCGCCGGCTCCCAGCCCGGAGCCTTCCAGAAGGCGCCCCGCGAGCCCGGGCTTCGCTCCCCCCGGGGCCGCCCGCCGCTCGCCCCCGACCCCGACTCCCGCCCGGGCCGTGGACTGGACGGCGCTCCGAGGAGGAAGGGGGCGAGTCACAAGTCTTGCTTTCTCTCCCAGGCAGGACTCCCCGATGCCCGGGAACATGGGTCCCCTCAAGCAGCCTCGGGGCAGCGCGAGGCCGCCCTTGGCCCTGAACCCCCTGAAGAGCCAGAAGGTGCTGGCGGTGCTGGCCGAGCGCAACCAGACGGTGATGCCCGTCGGGGCTTGGGTGGAGCCGGCCCTGCCCGACCGGTCGGAAGTCCCCGCGCATGTGAGTCCGCCGCACCCCCAGTCGCACCCCCAGGCCTCACAGGAACTCGCCCGTCTGAAGCAACCGTGACACTGACGTGCAGGCCCGCCGCACACGTGGTTGGCGGCCTGAAGCGTTGTCAGCCCCGGGGGCTGGAGCAGGAGCACAGCCGTCGGGTCGGGCCCTTGCCTCACACGAAGCCCACCCAGGTTCCATCCCCAGTCCCGTCTAGGGTGGCCTGGGCACCGCCCCGCCAGGCGTGATCCCTGCCCTCAGAGACAAGAACGGTCTCTGAGCATCGCAGGGCATTTCCCCCTCTCAATACATTTGGGTCAGTTTTATCTATATGACTCAATTGACTAAACAATCATTTTTCCTCGATGCCTTTTTTTTTCTTTTGCCTTAGTTGGTAGTGGGATGGGGGGCGTAGGAGGCCCTAGGGACCCTACCCCGTGCTTCTCAGCCTGGGTTCAGTGCCAGGGCCAGGGCCGAGGCAGGGATGCTGCTCGGGCCCTGTAGTGCTTCCGGCCCAGCCCAGGGCTGCACCTCCCTCCCCGCCCAATACTTGGGGGCCATGTGTTATGTATGTGGGGAGTGGGATTGAATCCAGGCAGGCCCCATGCAGGCATGTGCCATAACCCCTGTACTATTTGCCTGGCCCCCACTCTGCACTTCTCATAAGCGACCACCCACCCAGAAGCAGTGTGGTACTGTGTTCTCCCGGGCTGCACCTGGGGTTGCTAGGGGACGGGTAGTGCAGTGTATGGAGCCGGCTTTGGGTCTGACCTGCTGCTGCTGCAGCCCGGTCCTCCCCAAACTCTCCATTGCTTGTTCTTTCTGGCACAGGCCCCAGGTGATGTCTGTTTTTCACACTCCCAGCCAGGAAATGGGGATGTGGTGCTAACCCTTAGCCATTGTTTGGTTGATTCATGGTTGCGGTAAGTTTTGTAATAAAACTTTAGTAAGATTCAGATAAAGAATAAAGGAGGAAGAGATGAATTCTGAGCAGGTTTTAACTATTAATTCGACAAGGGCATGTTTTGTTCATTTTGTTCTACACACAGTAAGGCTTTTGTTCTACACACAGTAGGGCTTTTGTTTCACACGTAGTAGGTTTTCTATTTTGGCTGAGCTCCGGGATTACTCCTGGAGTAACTGCATAGGAGACAATATGCGGTGCTGGGGATTGAACCCACATGTGCTGCATGCAAGACAAGTGTCCTACCCTCTGTACTGTCTTTCCAGCAGCCAGGAAACACCTTTTGAGTTGTGTTCTAAATTAAGAAGGGTGGTGATAATTGGTCAAGAGGGAGGAGCATTTCAGATAAATGGAAGTTTTGGCAGTGTACAAGGGCAGTTTTGGAAGATTTTTGTTAGTTCATTCAACTCTAGCTTCTTCATCCGTTCTGTCGGGGGTAACTAAATGTGGATATTGTTTTGAATATTTTTTTATGATTTATCAGTAAATGTATACCTGTTTTATATACCGGTATACTTGGCTCTCATAAAAATGTCTTCGGTAAGACGATTTAGTGAATGGGAAAATTTGAAGGCACTCCAACTAAACAAGTGGCTGCTGGCTAGTTTTTATTGCCCCCCTCACAATTTGGTATTTCTAGTAAGTTGTCTATATACTGAATTTTCCTGTTGGAGCATGTACTCCTGAACTCACAGGGGAGAAAAAATTACATTCCTATATGTATCTTAGTGCCTAATAAGGTAAAGGTAAAGGCCCTCCCGTTGTTTGTCGATTTGCTCGAGCGGGCCCAGTAACGTCTCCATTGGAGACTTTGTTGTTACTGTGTCTGGCGTATCGAATATGTCATGGGGAGCTTGCCAGGCTCTGCCGTGTGGGCGAGATACTCTCGGTAGCTTGCCGGGCTCTCTGAGAGGGACGGAGGAATCGAACTCGGGTCGGCCATGTTGGCTGCGTGCAAGGCAAATGCCTTACCACTGTGCTATCGTTCCAGCCCTAATAAATGTAGGTAAATATTTGTAGAATACACAGAATATGGGCTGTAGCGATAGCACAGCGGTAGGGCGTTCGCCTTACAAGCGGCCAACATGGCCGACCCGAGTTCGATTCCTCCGCCCCTCTCGGAGAGCCCGGCAAGCTACCGAGAGTATTCGATATGCCAGACACAGTAACAACAAAGTCTCCAATGGAGACGTTACTGGGCCCGCTCGAGCAAATCGACGATCAACGGGAGGGCCTTTACCTTTTACCTTTACACAGAATATGGGCTGTAGCGATAGCACAGCGGTAGGGCGTTCGCCTTACAAGCGGCCAACATGGCCGACCCGAGTTCGTTTCCTCTGCCCCTCTCGGAGAGCCCGGTAAGCTATCGAGAGTATTCGATATGCCAAACACAGTGCTGGAGCGATAGCACAGCGGGTAGGGCGTTCGCCTTACAAGCGGCCAACATGGCCGACCCGAGTTCGATTCCTCCGCCCCTCTCGGAGAGCCCGGCAAGCTACCGAGAGTATTCGATATGCCAGACACAGTAACAACAAAGTCTCCAGTGGAGACATTACTGGGCCCGCTCGAGCAAATCGACGATCAACGGGAGGGCCTTTACTTTTACTTTACTAGTAACAACAAAGTCTCCAATGGAGACGTAACTGGGCCCGCTTGAGCAAATCGACGATCAACGGGAGGGCCTTTACCTATTTACCTTTACCTTTACACAGAATATGATACGGCCTTCTCACTGTAAAGATGCCGAGCTGACCAAGAGTTGAAAAGTATCAGGGATGTTTCCTTAGTGGTGCTTGATCCCAGAAGAAGGCATACATATTTAGACTAAATATTAAGTAGTGCAGTATCACATTCATTTTATTTTTGTATGTTGTGCATATTTATTCATTGATTCCTACTCTGCCTATTTCCAGAAAGGATTTTTAAGAACCTTAGTAGTATATGAGTGCTAAGATTGTGGCTCTTAATCAAAGAAGGAAGATGGATTGATGTGACAGGAAAATTTAGTGAAGAATTTAGGTAAATTTTAAAAGATAAGGAGATAATGGTAAGGAGTGTGGGGAGAATAGGAAGTAAGCAAGGTATAATCGGGATGCCAGTGGGCATTATAGAGTGAAGTAGCCAGTTTAGGTGATGGTGGTTGATAGGATTATGGGAAATATACACACATATATTATACATATTGGAGGGTGGCATTGTTTTGGCCACAACTGACTGTGTTCAAGATTTATCCCTGAATCTGTGCTAATGGGTCATTTTTCATGGTTCCGGGGATCGAACTAGATCAGCTGAGTGTGAAACTAGCACCTTACCTATTACATTAGTTCTCTAGCCCATAACTGAAGTATATTTTTAGAATTGTATCTTGACTGCTTTGTGTTTAGGAGTTAATAGGGGTCTCTGCAGTGGTTCTCAGGGACCCAAAGGCCACTCCCAGTTTTATCAGATCCAACTGTGGTTGTGGTGGTTTGATGCTCTGGAATGCTAGTGCTGGGGGATGTATCAGGTCCATATCTACAGCACATAGGGGACCATATGATGCTGGGAATTGAACTTGATACTTCCTGAGTGCAAGGTGTGAGCCCTACAGCTTTGAGCTACCTCCCTGGCCTGCTCTGTGCTTGTAAGAGAGTACTGATACACAGCACTTCTGACAAGCTTATTTTATGTCTTTTTTCTTTAAAGGTTTCAGCATATAGGATCGAAGAAGAACTAAAGGAACAACTAAGAAAAAAACAAGAAGCCTTAAAGCATTTTCAGAGACAAGTCAAACATCGAGTAAATCAGCAAATTAAGCTGAGAAAAAAGCAGCAGCTTCAGAAGTTTTATGAAGCAGTAAGTTCAACAGTGAGCCTGCAGGAAGATTGAAGGAGAACTGTGTGTGTTCTGAGAAGCTATTTTGCATAGTGGAATCCATTTCCTTTGATTCTGTGCTTTGTGAAATTTGGAATGCTAGTGAAGGTAGAGATAGGTAGTAGGTAAGCAAACCTATTATGTGTTACCTATTAACCTATTAACTTATTAGAGACCCCTATTAACTCCTAAGCACAAAGCAGTCAGGGTGCGATTCTAATAGGTTAATAGGTAATAGGTTTGTAGATAGAGAAACCAAATTTTATTCCTGTCTAGTTCTGACTCCTGCTGTTTGCTTTTACTAAGTAGTTAAAAACAATATTGGCTTTAGATTCAGACTAAAGTTGAGTTCTGGCTTTGTCACATGCCAGTCATGTGACCTGGAACAAAAGTTAATTACTTCTATTAACCTCTGTTGATGCCTTTTCTTCATCTGTATATTGGAGAATCTGACACATCTCCTAGGCTTGTTATGAGAATTTGATAACAAATTATTGGCAGATGACTAGCTGCCTGGTAAGTGTTACTTTCTTTGCTAGCTAAAGTGTCCCTACTTCTCCTCCTACCCCTTTGGGATGTATTCATTTTGTTGTAAAATTAAATTCTGACATGTTTTTGAAATTGACGTAAAGGTCCATTATCACATTTATTAAGTTTTAGGGTGTGCCACTGAAAGTTGACATGTTCATACAGTCAGTAAGTTTGCCACAGAAAGTCCATTTCTGTTAGAGGTGGTCTATGGTTGTGTTGATTGGAGTGGAATCTTCTGGAAGGATTTCACTCTTTTTGTGTGTGTGTGTGTGTGTGTAGGCAGAAAAAGAAGGCTTCGTAGCCACGCATTCTTCAGAACCGGCCCTCTTGACTCCTAGAAGCAGCAACATTTTCCCAAGCAATTTGAATGCTGCCAGGGGGAGTGAGAATAGACTAGAAGACAGAGAGACTCAAAATGGATCATTCCAACAACAAGCCCAGGCTGTAAGTACATGTTCAGTTTGGTTTGTGTCCAAACTAAAATATGATGTCTAAGGCTCAGTGTAGAACATGGGAGTGATCACTTTCAACTTCACTGTTTTTTTAGCCTCTTCTTTGTGGGGCCTCCTAAGAGTTGCTCAGAGACCTGGAGGCTACTCCCAGAGATTCTCAGCCAGGTGGCTAGTGGTTCAACCAAGGACCCGAGGATGTGGTGCTGTCTGGGCCCTGCAGTGCCAGGGACCTCCAGGCCATCCTGGAGGAGGGTGTCAGGGCCACATGCACTGACACACTGCCAGCACTGCTGGGCCTTCCGTTTACTACTGGGTGATACCAGGAGAGGGCGGTGTGGTTCCAGGGATTGAACCAGCATCTAGCATGTTCCTTAACCCTTAAGATACACTATCTTCCTAGCTTCGATTAGCTCTGTTTTAATCTTTGTGTAGTAGGGACTAGTGGAATGATGTTGATTTTACCTCGGGAAGCGATTTGGGTCACATCTGGAGATGCTTAGGGGCTACTCCTGGCCTTGTGCTCAGGGTTCACACTGGGTGGTATTCAGGACCAGGCAGTACTGGGGATTAAACTAGAATACGCAGTATGCATGGCATGTGCCTTTAGCCTTACACTGTCTCTCTGGCCCTGGTGTTTGTTTATTTTTTAAAATTTTAAATTTAATTTTACTTTTATAAAGTTGTTCACAATTTTTTACATTTAATATTTCAACACCAATCCCATCACCATTACACCTACCCGCCACCATGTTTTGAATGTTTTCACCCTGATCCCCAAACCCTTCCCCCAAAGCAGGACCTAAATAATTTATTTTGTGTTACTTGTTATGAATAATCCGCTAAAAATGATCCAAAAAAGTTTCCTTAGAGATAAGTATGTGAAGATTATTGTATCTCACCCTGGAGCCAATAAGCCCTTGTCTAAGAGATAACCAACATATAGAATGTCTTGGCTGTGCATTCCAGGAATTCTAAAATTTGGATGGTGATTTTGGGGTCCAGAGGTCTCTCTGCAGAGTATTGTTCTGTGTTGTTCTCTTCCAAGAGTTTTATTTGTGACTCTCTGGATCATGGCCATTAATGAGCCTATATGGTGCAAGAGGTAGTTCCTGGCCGTGACTGCCAGTCTACCTACCAGAAGCACAGGGAGATAAGGGGGGAGGTCACACATTCCCGACTACATGCGAGCCTGGAGATTTCAATCACTAGTCCTGAAGATGTGGGTATTTCAGCAGATTCACTCATGAATGAGACTGACTGAGCCTGTGGAGAGCGGCCGTGAGCATGGCGGCACTTGAGTTCTGGAGGTTTTCAGCTGCTAGGGCTCTGTTGAGGTGGGAAGAAGACCTCACTTGACCGCCTCTGGTGGCCCCAATGAGACAGCCTGGCACAGGGTCTGGAGGCATCTCTATGGCATATCCCTCTGGTGTTTATTTTTATGTATGCATTTTAAGTTTGTACTCATTTATTTTTGTAAGACACTTTAGAATTGTCTAAAGAAAGGTGCCAAAGTACAAGTTCAAAGTAAGAGTTTTAGGGGCCAGGACAATAGTATAGAGGGTAAGGTGCTTGCCTTCTATGTGAAAGACCTGGTTACCTCGTTTGGTTCCTCAAGCACCGGCAGGAGTGATCCTTGAGTGTAGAGCCAGGAGTAAGCCCTGAATACTTACGGGTTTGCCCCCTCCCCTTACCCCTATCACCTCCACCTCACCACACACAAAACCAATCCAGAAGGGGTTGGAGAGATAGTACAGCAGATAGGGCACCTGCCTTCCATGCAACCAACCTGAATTTGATTGTTGGCACCTCATATGGTCCTTGGAGCACCACCAGGAGTAATTCCTGAGTGCATATCTATGAGTGACCCCCCCAAGTATCGATGGACGTGGCCCTAACTAAAAAAAAGAAGTTTTATGTCAAAGAATGTTTTCTCATAGGAATATGGACAGAAGTGATTCCTGACTTATATTGCAGAGATTCAGGCATATTATTCATTGTTTTTGTCTGCTTCCCCCAGTCTTTTATATTCTATCATTATATTAATAGATTATAAACCTAGTAACAATATAGTGAACTCTCAATATCTTCAGAATTATTTTGGAAAATGTACATTTAGCAGTTCATTTTCCATAGCTAATATTGATGTTAGTTAGCCACTTACTCCAGTCACTTAACACCATCCAGGCAGCTCCCTTCTTGGTGTACTGAGCTGTACTGTTCATTTGAGACCAGACTCTTCAGCTCTGCTCTAGGTGTGATCTTATCACTTCAAACAGTTTTGGGTTGACCAGAGAGATAGGACAGGGGTGAAGGTGCTTGTCTTGTATGTGGCTGACCTGGATGCAGTCCCTGCTACTGCATATGTCCCTGAGCACCCCTGAGCACAGAGCTGGGAGTAATCCCTGAGCATAGCTGACTATGGCCCAAATACAAACAAATTCTTAGACATAGTAAGAAGAGAGCAGTAATGTGGAAAATCAAGCTCTGTAGCACTGTCCTCCCATTGTTCATCGATTTGCTCCAGCAGGCACCAGTAACGTCTCTATTGTGACACTTGTTGTTACTATTTTTGACATATCGAATACGCCACGGGTAGCTTGCCAGGCTCTGCTGTGCGGGTGGGACACCCTCGGTAGCTTGCCGGGCTCTCCAAGAGGAATGGAGGAATTGAACCCGGATCGGCAGCATGCAAGGCAAACGCCCTACCCAATATGTGAAAATTAAAAGTTGTATAATTGCCTAAGTAATGTTCTGGGTTATAAGTGTGAAGTAAATCTGATTGTACCATGTAGTATCAATAGGGAAACTTTTAGAAGCTCATTCAACTTCTTAAAAACTTTTCCTTTGTCCCTTGCTATGACCTTTTTTGTCATTGTGTGATTTGTATTGTTTTTATGATTATTTTTGTTTTTCTTTTTAATACTGTGAACTATTTGTTCAGAAAACAATGAACCACATAGTGCATTATACAAGGGCTAGAATACTGATTAAGAGAGATGCAGTTCAGGGGCCCGAGCAATAGTACAGTGGGTAGGGAGCTGACCCTTGCTTGATCCTGGTTCCCCATATGGTCCCCCGAACACTGCCAGGAGTGATCGTTGAGTGCAAAGCCCTGAGCACTGTCAGGTACAGCTAAAAAAAAAATACAACGAAATTCGTTCATATAATATGCTTAAATCCCACAGTGATGAGACTTTTCCTTATTGTCTCGTATATGAGTTTAGAACTTCAATGCACAGATATTTGTATGTATTGTTTGTAAACACTCTAAGGATACTACTTAAATGTTAGTTAGGTTGTTCCATGGTTTTATATTTTCAAATAGAGATCCTAAATATAAAGCTTATGGATCCCCCAATGTATTATAGAGGTATTGGCTCTATTTTGGAGTTCAAAAATTTAAATTCCAAGAAAATAGGAAGAATTCATGAAAGTAGTGAAAGTAGTCTATATTTTGAATTGGTAAGCTACATTTCATTGGTAAATTTAAGAGACTTTTGAGATGGAACCTGTTAAAAACCTAAGGTAAAAGGTAAAGGCCCTCCCGTTGATCATCGATTTGCTCGAGCGGGCCCAGTAACGTCTCCATTGGAGACTTTATTGTTACTGTGTTTGGCATATCGAATATGTCACGGGGAGTTTGCCAGGCTCTGCCGTGCGGGCGAGATACTCTCGGTAGCTTGCCCGGCTCTCCGAGAGGGGCGGAGGAATCGAACTCTGGTCAGCCATGTTGGCTGCGTGCAAGGCAAACGCCCTACCGCTGTGCTATCGCTCCAGCCCGTGTTAAAGACCTAGAATGTGTAATGAGCTTGCTAAGTTTCGAAATAAGTGAAAGAACTTCTTTAATTGGTAATTTATAGAGCAGAGTAACAGAAACCAATGTTAGAAAAATAGGAGAAAACCAGGTTGTGAAAGCTTTGTTTTATTTTGAAAATGTTTGGATCTTCCATGCAGTGCACAGTGGTTCTGGGGGCCACTGCTTGTAATTCTCAGTCACCTGGGCTGGTGGTGGGTTAGTATGAGGGCCTGGCCATATGCCTGCCACTGGGGCCACCCTAGCAGTTCTTGGGGCCTCCAGGCCCACAGCCAGTGACATTTGGGGCTCTATGTGATGCTGGGGATTGATTTGGGGTCACATGCATGCAAGACATGCACCTCAACCCTTTTACTATTTTCCTGACTCCTAAAAGCCTTTAAGGCTTTAATTATTTTAATTATTATTATAATTATTAATATTATTTTAATTATTTTTGGAAATTTGGGGTGGCCACACTTGACTGTGCTCAGGCACCTCTTTTGGCAGGGTTTGGGGGACTGTATGAGGTGCCAGGGATTGAACCTGGGATGGCTGTGTACAAAGCAAGCATGCTACCCTCTGCTCTATTGCTTAACATCTATTTTTTTTTATGTTACCAAGAGTATCTCGCCTGCACGGCAAAGCCTGGCAAGCTACCCGTGACGTATTTGATATGCCAAAAACAGTAACAAGAAGTCTCACAATGTTACTGGGCCCACTTGAGCAAATCGATGAACAACAGGAGGACAGTGACAGTGATATTAACTTTATTATAGGTTTTTCTACCCTGATTTTTTATTGGGAGGGGGTTAATTGAATTTTTTTTAAGTTGAATCACTGTGAGATAGTGTTTTTGTTTTTGGGCCATACTGAGTGGTGCTTGGGACTTACTCCTAACTCTGCTTAGGGATCACTCCTGGCAGATCTGAAGGAACATATGTGGTTTTGGTGCTCAAACTTGACTTGGGCACGTGCGAGGCAAGCTCCTAACCCATTGTATTCTCTGGCCTCTGATTTTCAATTTTTTTTTTTTTGGTCACACCCGGCAATGCGCAGGGGTTACCTCCTGACTTTACACTCAGGAATTACTCCTAGCAGTGCTCGGGGGACCATATGGGATGCTGGGAATCAAACCCAGGTCGGCCGTGTGCAAGGCAAAAGCCCTACCCGCTGTACTATCTCCCCTGATTTTAAAT